GGAGCTCCAGCACCTACTGACCCATACACAAACACACACAAACACACACAGACTGACCCCTCCCTCCACACACACATACACACAGACTTACCCCTCCCACACACAGACTGACCTCCCCACCACACACAAAAACACAGGCTGACTCATACATACACAGACTGACCACCCCACACACACACAGGCTGACTCATGCATTCACAGACTGACCAGGCCACCCCCATACACAGACTGACCCATATACACACACACACATACATACACACAGACCCTCTAGACTGACCCACACACACACACAGACCCGACTCATACGTACACAGACTGACTCACACACACGCACACACACACAGATTGACTCATACACACAGACTGACCCATACACACACAGATATACACACACAGACTGAACCCTCCCACCCCACACACAGGCTGACTCATACATACACTGACTGACCTCCCCCCCACACAGACTGACTCATACATAAACAGAAACCCATACACACACAGACTGACTCCTCCACACAGACTGACTCATACATACACTGACTGACCTCCCCCCCACACAGACTGACTCATACATACACAGACACCCATACACACACAGACTGACTCATACATACACAGACTGACTCCTCCACACAGACTGACTCATACATACACTGACTGCCCCCGCAAACACACAGACTGACTCATATACACAGAGACTGACACCCCCCATAGACTGACTGACTCATACACACACACACACACACACACAGACTGACTCATACTGAGTGCACACTTACCAGCTGCTGCCTGGATGACTCATTCCTCCCATGTTGCAGAGCTGAACTTCCTCTCCTTGTCTCTCTCTCCCCGCACTGCTCATAAAGACACAGGAGGAAGTGAAATGTAATCACTTCCTCCCAGCACAGTGCCCCCTGTGTTGAGTTCCTCACCAGCACAATTTGCTGTGGGCCAGTAGAGCTGTGGGAACTTGGCAGCTTCACTCTGCTGGCCCTGCTCCTGTTTCTTTCTCCCAGAAAATAAGGAGGTAGCTTCCCCTGACCAACCACCCATTTCTGTGCATTCCTGACCAACCACCCATCTGGCCAGGAGCACCATATATCAGTGGTGGAACTCCCGGCTTTGTGCTGGGCCCCCCTAGTGCTCCGGTGCAGTTGCCGGTAGTTCTGCCACTGTGTAGTATCCTAAGGTAGCAGTAGACTACAGGCAACATAATTGGCCATTCATTTTATTTCTTGTAAGCTTTAATAAATCAGATTATTTTTTCTTCAGTATACATAAAGGAGGAACCTTAACAAGAGTTATACAAATCATTGTTGCAAAACAATTTGCAGGAATATTGTGAATGGATGACTAAAGACAAGGTGCTGCATCAGCTAAAAAAAAGTTAATATAAACAAAGCCCAAGGAGCTAAGGGTGGAAATAAGTGTACTTATTGTTATAATCTTTCAAAATTCTTCAGCAAGTGAGGCACTGTTAGGAGAAGTACTCACAATCAGTAAGACTGCTTTCTCAGGTTCCTGGCAACAGTTTAGACACCTCTGAGACACATCAAAGATGTGCAGCCACGTCAAGTTCAAATTGTTTTCTGGAACCCGGTCCAAGTGTGACGCAGGCACGTTGAGTTGTCAGTGTTCCCTAATTTTGACGCAATTGCATCAATTCCACTGGTCAAGCCAGGCTTTTGCTCCAACATGAATGTGGTCAATTCTACCAGTCTCAAACAACTGAGTCATTTTCAATCAACTCTTATTATTACTAGGTTGTGATCACGTTATTCTGGCTGCAAACAAATTTAAATGATCAAATTTTATTTCTTGGCCTTGTTGCCATTTTGGGGTTCCAGACTTCCTAAGTGCACTATTTGAAGTGGAGTATTTGGATTTTTATTTTTTTGAAATGGTATTGACTTGACCTTTTGTAGTTTTCTGGAATCAATGACCCAGCTAGTTATGAATATAGTATAATATTTAGCTAAGCGTTAAGCACCTTTCAATCATTCCTACTGTACCTTACTATATCTTGCTGAGGATCCAATCCATTCCTGACAGGGACCAATAAAGGGGAAATGAGAAACATTAAATCAAACTTCAGGAAAGGTTTATTTACTAGAGACCCAACAATTCCATTTCTCTTGATTACATGATCGTGGTTTTTTGAGTGTAGTATAAAACACTACACGCTCCTCTTTTGTTGTTTATAGTTTATCATTTTATGTTGAGAAATATGTATATTAAAGAAGAAATAGTTGAAGAATATACCCTAAGCTTCTCAATAAAGACTCTCTACCATCTTATCATCTATATGTTTTATTTGTGCCTTTTTTGATTGAATTGACTTTCCTTGATTATATTCAGTGTTTTTTCCCCTAGATATGGTGAGTTTTTAAATTTTTATACAGTGAATAGAAAATATTTTTGGTACAACTACCTTCTGTCTACTACCATACTATTTATATGTTGTGGTGTTAGTGGGATCCCAATGATCTTGGTTATTTGCCGACTTGTGCCACTTCTTCCATTTAGACTACTAGTGCTTCACTTCTACTTATGATTGGAGAAGAATAAACCACTCACCATAAAATGTAACCAAAGCTAGACATATCATGATCACGTATCAGAGAGAACACTTTAAAGGAAAGAATCAATCAATTTGTCACTCCACTATGACAAATATTAAACCAAAACTCAATAAAGATTACCAAAACCACAAAGATCCAAAATCATTCTAAAAATTACCCATACAAGACCCAAATATCTTCAAAGATCATCCAAAGCTCCAGGTAATCAGAAACTATAGCTACTACCTAATTTCCCCTGATTTACGCTGAATTAGACCAAGAAGACCATTTTTAAGAGCACCAACCAACACTCACCATTATACCAACCATCTGAAGGAAAAAAATTTTTTAACCTTAGAGTAAGGAGAGACGGTAAATTTTAAAGAATTTAAACCAAAAAATGAAAAAGGAATTAGGAATCTTTAATATGCCACAAAAAGCTCTATACTCTATTCAAGTTGTGAATATGCACCCTCAAAAGCATTTAAACCTTCACAAAAATATATCGACATCAATCATTTTTTTGCTATACCACCCTAAAAAGGATTCTATAAAAACAAGAGTAATGAATCTGGAGAAAAAATCCATCAAAATATGCAGGAGGAGTATCATTATATTAAAACCCAAAACCAAAATAGAAATGTATCCATCCAACCAAAGGTCCACTTCCCTAGAAGTGTTTGAAAAGTTAATCCATAGGGATATTGAAAAAATGAAAGGTTATAAATATGACCATTATAATCTAACAAGAAAAGAATGAGAAACTCTACCAGAGGTTCAAACTGATGAATAAATAATTATTATACTGGGTGATACAGGTGGGGTCTAGTGATATTATAAAACGAAATGTACAACAAGGATGTTTTTAGACAAATAAGTAATGCTTCAGTATACAAAAAAAATCTAACACAGACCCCACTACAGGTATAAACAAAACTTTAACACAATTTTTATATAAAGTATAATGTAATAATTTAATAATTTTAAAAATAATTTAAACCAACTGGGAGTTTCCTATTTGAATGTTTTTTTTTTGTTTGTTTTTGTATCTGTTTTTTATTTTTCTAATTCTTTCTGTATTGAGACGATTAGGTTAAGTGATACAGACATTTAGCAGCTTTCAAAACAGATATGTAACATCATAGAAAAGTGAAGACAATGCTCAGATAACACCGCCTCTTTTTTTTTTTCTTGTGTAGAAGAGATAACAGATAAATTACATGCTGGGTAGACATGTCTGTGTGAGTGGAATAAACTAGGCAGGTGTTCTAAAATCAGCGATTAGGCATGTTCAACAGGGTGTTGATACAGTATTACTGTACCAGTGTATCTGTATGGGCTCAAGAGGGTAGGGTGCTTCTACACTTTATATTGTGGATTATGTGCAGGCCTGTTCTATCTTAGTCGGTGTAGGTGAGCAATGGTTACCGCCTGCACTGCTGGGCTGAGTGTTTTGGCTAAGATATAGCCCTTTGCTTGCAAGGATTGCGTTGGATTTACTTTCAATGTGCAGGGGCTTGGGAGATTGGTGTCGATTCAGCTCAAGCATTAGGCTCCGCCCCCACCCCTTATTTGAATGTTTTAAATCAAATAATCTCTATTATTTAGTTTATACCTAAAATACACAAACAGTTGACATCCCCTCCAGGCCACTCTATAGAACTATATTAAATGGAAACTCAGTTATTTTCTGGTCACAATCACTGTACACAGCTATTTTTAATGATATCGAATGCATAACAGTTCGGAATATTTTTATACAAGAGTATACCCTCCCAGAAATGTAAATGGATTTTATTATTGATGTTATTAATACTATATTATTGAACTATGTTTTCTGGTATTATCTTACTTTTACATACAGAAGAAAGGTATTGCCATGGGTCCGAACTTTGAGCCAAGTTGTGCATATCTTTTCATGGCTAATTGGGAATCTAGACGATTTATACAATTCTAACCCAATATAAAGTTAGATCAGAAAAAAATGGGTGCGTCAGGGGGGGAGGAAAGATAATTGATTGGAAATCTAAAGCCATATGAAGTAAAACTCAAAGAAAAATGTTACTTACGCACTATCCCAAATCCCACTGCATATTTAAATAACTGGAGGTTTTTTAGTATCACTGCAATGGCCATTTAAGTGTATGTTTACCTGCCACATCAAGGCAAAACTTACCAGGTTAGTCCTACACTAATAATTCACCTTGCTGTCTTCAGCCAACAGGTTAAATCTCTAATGAAAAAGAGAAGGGTATTTTTTTTAAACCACTACAGAGGGAACACATGGGGTCAGCGGCAGCTCAGTAACATGGCTGTGTAATACAAAAGCAAATACAAACATACAAAATTGCCACCCACCTGTTGTACTTGCAGTTACATGTAGTTATTAATATTTTGGGTGCTAGAATTTGGTTAGCAACTATTTCTATTTTATACTGCAATTGTTTGCTTACCTGTACCCTCTAACCTACTCCTTGCCCCTCCTAGCTGTACATTTCTACAAATACCTGTGTCTATTTCTATTCCATCGGGCCCAATTCCACAAGGCAACTGGAACATAACCACTTTATTTCCACTAAGCAGTCTTTTGTGTTCGCCTTTGATTAATTATTACACTATTACAATTACACTTTGATTAATTATTCCTTCACTTTCTTTCAGTTTTTGTTTTGTTCTTTCCAGGATGCCTCACTTTAGACTCCTTTACCACACCATATCTATTTCCGACCCTTCGGTTACAAACTCCCCTTGGCAATCACGTTGTCTAAATCAATATTACCAGAAAGTGTGCATTAGTATTCAATCTCCTGTTCATCTTTTCTCACCATTCTCCATCAGTAAATGGCACTTTCACTCACTTCTTATTTTGATTATTGATGTTCTAGTTTATATGCACATTGGTCTATTCTATGTTGTTTTTACAATCCGCAAACTTCCATTCTCTACCGTGTGATCATTGTTTTTCAACCCCTTTTGTTCTTAAGAATTTTATTTAGGTTTTTAACACTGAGAATATTTTTTGTATAGCCAGAGACCTGATTATCGATCACGTGGTTACTACATAATTAAAAAGTATAATTTCCCTCTGTTTAAGTACAAGCAGGCAGGATCAATGCAGTCACTTAAAAAAGTCTTGATTTTGGCAAAGCACATTATGTTTTATTCTATTTTATGGTTTTTAAGTTTATTTTTCAAATAAAAATTCTGGATCATAACAGAGAGCACTATGTGTATTTTCCCTTATGTTCCATATCAACACTAATCCAGAGAATACTCACCCTTCATTTATCCTGGAGAGGGAATAATACTGCTCAAAGCTGAGATGTTAGAGCATACAAGAAGCTCTATTTACAATGAGTGGCTATTTATGTTGCTTGCGGTTTACTGGATACTACTCTATAAGATTTACTTTGTGCTTGTTTTCTCTGTTCTATATTCACCCAGTAGGTCTGTTATGGGCGCCCAAGGCTCATTGATGCACGTGGAGAGCGAAGGCTAGCGTGTCTGGTCCGACCACACAGAAGAGCTACTATATAGCTCAAATTGGTGAAAAACTTAATGCAGGCTATGACAAAAATCTGTCAGAACACTCAGTGCATCACAGTTTGCTGCATATGGGGATGTTTGATCCTATTTTTATTCATTGCTTTTGCATCATACTTCTGGTTCCTGGAGGTTGTATATGGAATTCTCCCTTGGAGTAGAGGAATATTACATTTTGATGGGCATTTAATCTTTATCTCTCTTGTGAGTGCAATGTCATAAAGTGTTCTTTGGTGTTATTCAGTTGTGCATTATGTGTCTGTTTCTTTTTTTCCTAACAAGCACAGAAATTGGGAAAAGAGAAGAAAAAAAGTCCATACCTGTGATATGTTTTCTGCCTTTTCTACTGTATGCATGTGAGTTCAATTCAATTTCAAAAATATGGCTTACGGTATTGGTGTGGACACTGCATTAATGAGTACACCCTAGTACTGGTAAGAAATATGCGATTAGTGAATTCTGTAATTGCCCTTGTGGCCTGGCGTATGTTGGCGAGTCCACAAGGAAATTTACTACCAGGATCAGAGAGCATAAGAGTAGTATTATGACTAATAAAATCCAATATCCGGTGGCTCGACATTTTACAGAAAAAAAACACACTATTTCCCAATTGCAATATATGGTTCTGCAATCGGTTAAAGCCCCAATAAGAGGTGGGTCGAGAGAAGTTACCGTATGTAGAAACAGCGGGAATTGTACTAGATATATGAATTGCAAACACTGTACACAAAATGTCTGAATGAAGAGAGGGATTTCTCTCTTTATTTGTTATGGCTTTGGCATTACTTGGTATTTACTCAGTCTATGTATAGTTTGTATCTTTATTGATTTTATCTTATATATTACGTAATTATTATTGTTTATTATTTTGCTTATTCTTTGTTGCTTTATTTATTTGCCTTATATATGTAAGCATTTTTATATTTTGAAGTGGTGGTTATAGTGTGCATTCTCTAATCTTGTGATCAAGGTATGTACAAAATGCTAATGACAAAAATGACCAGTTTCAAAACATTTCATTGTTTTAATCTTTTTGTCATGGCAGCCGGTCACATGTGAGTGGAGCTCTGCAACCTACCAGGCCTAGTGTCCTAAACTAGTTACATTTGCAGCCCTATTCTGAGACTGAGGACTGAATGGAGGAGGTGTGGTTATCAACCGGTTCACAGCTTTGGAGGAGGATCAGGCAAAGACTTGGCTGAAATTGGCTGACGTGTAGGACAGGTCTCACCGCAATAATGTGAGAATTTGGGGCATTCTTGACTCCATCACTACTGAGGGACTACCTATATATGTGACAAATGTTTTGGACACTAGTGAAAGAGGTGACGATGTAGGAGTGGAGCATTGAAAGGGACGGCTTCCACGACCCATTGGCATACCTGAGGCAACTCCAAGGGACACAATTGTCTGTTTACATTACCACAAAATAAAGGCGGTACTAATGGCAAAGACAAGATAACTAAAGTTGTTTTCTGAACCTTATGCTAAGCTTTCTATTTTTTACTGGCATCTATACAGCTCCAACATATTCAGCAGCGCTGTACCATTGGGAAAAAGACCAACAAAGTAAAAACAGACCGATACAATAGGTAGATGGCCCTGCCCGTGAGCTTCAATCTTCAAGGGTACTACATTGGCTAAAAGAAGAAGCTTCTCTGAGATTACTATCTGCCTCCATCAACACAAAAAAATATATTGCTTGGGCTTTTCAACTAAATTGTTGGTCTGGTGGCATGGGACTTTGCACTCCATAACCACACCAGTGGAGGGCCGAAAAAAGATCCTGCAAACTACACGGAAAGCATTCAGAGCAGTTCCAATTGGAATTCCCTCTAGAAAGGTGACACTGGAGTGTTTACCTTCTTCCTCAGGTAGGTTCAACAATGAGAAACCATCATCCTGATGCAAACACTCCATGAATTGGATATCCTCTAAAACAGGGTTATGTCCTGGGTCCAATGGTTTTATGGTCGTCCTCTGATGAAGTGATTGCGGTTCATGGAAGAACCAGAGGACGGTTATGTTCTCCATTAATCCCAGTTCATGTTTTCCAAAAGTTTTGGTTTTAGTTCTATTAATGTACAGCCTTTTATATTGAGCTACCCCTGTCAGGGTCACTAAAAATTCACCATATCTTGCTTTTTTTATTGATCCTGATCTTGTCATTTAAAAAAAATGACAAGATCAGCTAAGACGTGGACATTTTTATATATATATATATATATATATATATATATATATATACACACACACATTATATAATTATAAATAAAACTTTTCCACGTCTTAGCTGTGACAACCCCAGCTATATTGCGAATACAGGAGTCACACATTTGCAGACCAAACCCGCTTACGTTTATATCTCACAAATATCCTTTAGTTTATAATGCTGACGCACAATCCAGATTGAGACGAGTGTCCATATTTTTCCATAAGGACTTAAAAAGGAATATGCTGACAGAGATGACAGATTTTTTTTTTATAGTGGTGCATACACTAAACAATGAGCTAATCAAGGTTGTCGACATCTATGTTACCAATTTACACCAAACTGCATTTATAGGGATATGCCTATGATAATCTTTTATAGAGGGCCCTGCAGAGCGATATGATGACTTTAATTGTGTTCTTGACCCACAATAGGACAATCGGGCACTGATGCCTATACCCATTTTCCAAGACCAGCATATGCCAAAACCACGCAGCTCATTCACAATTTTGTTTTGTTTTTTGGATTAATGGTCAGCCCTAAATCAAGGCGCGAGAGATTACATCCACTTTTTGATCCCCCATCAACGATATTCGAGGATAGATATGTGCTGGATGGACTCTTGCTTTTTGTGGAGAGCTACATTGGCCAATATTGGTCTGATAGACTGGTGTGACCATGCACAGAAAACGATCAATTTTGTTGGAATATCTTACAAAAGGACGTGGCAATTAGTGATTGAATGATGCCTTACTATCTAATTCTCAGATTTTTCAGAAGCTGAAAGTAGTTTAACAATCCTATTTTTCTCAAAACAATACTAATTTTGCCTCCCGCTATTTGGTTAGCACATAGCCAGTTATAAGAGGCCTGCAAATACAGCAAGGGGCAATTCAAAAACACCTCATGAGCAATAAATTGGAAAAACTTTATCTCCAATTAAAACTATTAGAAACAGAAAATAAAGTCACACCTTCAAAACAACTTTCCCTTCGCATTGCTTGAGAAAAGGCAGATATTCACACCGACCAACTGTCAATAACAGAAAGACACTAAAAACATTAAGCGTTATCTACTATAACAAAGCAATGAAACGACTAGCTGCTAGCTAGCAGAAAACTGATCCCACAGATAAAAATTCACATAATGTAAAGTATATGGTCGGGGACCATATAACATTTCATCTGGAGGAGAATGGGGGTGCGGCTCACAGGGACTTGCATTGGATGTTGCCAGATAACGGAGATGTTACATCAAGAGGAAGGTGATCTGCAGGACGGAAACAGCTGAGTGTGGGAAGTTGCCCTCAGAATATGGATGCTATTTAAAGAGACACAGAGATGGGTAGGGTTATTGTTAGTTTGTGTTTTTATTGTTATGGACCCTGAGGATGTATATTTGATAGATGAAAAGTGTAGAACCGCACATATTTAAAAATATTTGTAAGATTTTAATAAAATTACCACATATTAATTTCCTGTGTCGTTTGGCTACAAACATGAAGATGGAGTGGAGACTAAAGGCCTCCCATCTGGACCTTGTGTGTGCCAAGTAAACCCATCTGTATAAATAAAACTTGATAAAAAATGGGCTATGCCAATTTCTTTTAGCAGCATATTTACGCATTGGTGTAACCAAACATCCTACAATTCAAAAGTTTGTATAGGTTTTCCCAAATGTGTCAAATTGGCAATTTATTGTTAAAACATAGTGACTGATATTTCCAAGCAGTAAAAAAAATACAGTTCTCCATTTTATTTTATTTCTGAATCAGATACGGTTTAGGGTCACACCACAAAAGCTTCCAAATTAAAAACCTATTGCATAATGCAGTCCAAATACTTGTCATAGAGAAGGTAACTATCCTTCCACTATTCTCCTCAGGAAGATTCCTAGACCCCCCTTGGCTACTTGCAATGGAGTCTTTTCCTCTTTGTTTTCAATATAAATACTTGCGCCACGTTCCACCAAAAACTTAGCCTCATCAATCCTTTCTTCATCACAGGCAAGATGGCTAACAAAACAAAATAAAACACACTTAGTTGAATGTTTATTTAGACACATAAGATAAATCAATTCAATTTTGCATCAGTGATAGACTAAAATTTGTACGATTAAAAATTACAGATTAAAGGGACACTATAGTCACCAGAACAATTACAGCTTAATGTGGTTGTTCTGGTGATTATAATAGTTCCCTTAAGGTTTTATTCATGTAAACAAAAAAACGTGTTTACATTGCATCTAGGGACACCTCCAAGTGGCCACTCCTAAGATGGCCACTAAAGGTGCTTCCTGAGTCAGTGCTGCCAAAACAAAAAGCAGCACGGACGTTCAGCATCCACACGCTCTGCATGGAGAAGCTGAATTTTCCTCATAGAGATGCACTGAATCAATGCATCTCTAAGAGGAGGTCTTGATTGGCCAAAACTGCATTTGGCCCTGCCCTGTGCCGATTTTAGCCAATCCAATGCTTTCCCTATGGGAAAGCATTGGATTGGCTAAAAATTGGCCATTTTGATGATATCACAAATGGAGCGAAGCCAGCGCTGGCGGACCTGCGCTTCGCTGGAAATAAGGTGAGTTTTAAACTTTTTTTATAGGGGTGGCTAAAGGAGGGCAAGCCACCTAAATGGTGGGTTAAACACTATAGGGTCAGGAATACATGTTTGTGTTCCTGACCCTATAGTGTTCCATTAAAAGGAACACTCCAGACACAAAGTACTTCAGCTTGCTTACGTGCTTTATGTGCCTGGAGTATGTCATCTGCCATTGAGAAACATATTTTAAGGTATTGAGCATTTGATGGGATCACACTCCAGGCTCAGACTGCATGTATACAATCTGAGCCAAACAAGGAAAGAGTGTGAGATGGACATGAATTAATATTTCGGAATGAAGGGAGGGGAACTCATGTTTTCTACCACGCATGTGCAAGCCATTTGCCGGGACGCTACAGGAAGTATGTCAGTGCAACACACGCCACCGGAGGATTGAATTAAGAACAATTACCACGAGTATAAGAAGGTCCTCATTGGAAGAATCATCTTATATCCTTGAAGAAGTCCTTTCTACTCCTTGGATGAAACGCGTTGGATTTATGGACTTTCATTTGTTTTAATCCTGTTTTTATTTGTATATTTCTTTATTTTCCCTGCGGCCAGAGTTGGATCATCTCCAGACCAACCACGCTGCGGTTTTATTCCACTTGTAGTGGAGATATGCCTGTTAAACCTACCTGTTTGTAAGTCCATTCAAATAAATTGTTTTTTAGTTTCATACATACTTCACCATGTATGGCCTTTTTCCCTCTATCTCTTTGAAGATATTCTCATCATTAGGATCTGCTATCAACTCCACATTATATTTAACCCCAGGTGGGGTGAGAAGCCTGCTTTCCACCTACGTTTGTGAGTTTGCTACCAGCACCACATAATTCACACATATCTATTATTGTGTTACACTATGATATGTTTTTATTATTTTAGATTCGTTTACATTTCTTCATAGAATTTATCTGACCTGGATTTACTCTTCCAGGTTGTACTTAAATTTTTTGTACGCCTATTGGGTGTTTTTTTCCCACTTTATGTCTGTTATTTGCTCAGAGTTAAGTTTACAACTCTCTGTTAGTAGTAGTGAAGGCAGGGAATGACTCTTGGTGGGTTCCAGGTAAAAAAACAAAACAAAAAAAAACTCTTTTAGAATGGGAGAGGGACTGTGGTGGTCATGGTGCTTGGAGTGCTCCTTTAAAATAGATAGAAGCGGGATGGATCTATAAATTAAGAGTTCAAGTTGACCTATTGAAAATGTGCTGTCTACCTGTACACACCAATTTTGATGAGTGAGGTGAAATTAAAGGTGCAGCTATCTACTGGTAAACAACAATAGGACAATACAAAAAATACTAACAAATAATATCCAGGATTAGGTTGAGTGTATAAAGTGAAGGATAAGTTAGCCAGAGAAAAGGTTTATCAAATACAACATGTTTTTAACATTTTCTCACAGTTATTCGCATTATCTATGGTTCACTCACAGTTAATAAACCCACTACATGCAGAATGACTTACAGGGGAGTGTTTCCTTCTGTGTCCTGAATATTTGTTGATGCTTTGTGTTCTAGAAGTAACTGAACTATCTTTAGGTTGCCTTTGGAAGCTGCACGGTGCAGTGGTGTTGACTCCAATTTGTCTTTTGCATCAGGTGAAGCACCATTTTCTAGTAGCATTAGAGCAATCTGCAAGAGAAACATAGAATTGAGACTAGAAGGGCCAGAAACGGAATGTATGTCAGTGACTATACATTATTAGGGTTTATTAACTTAAAGGGCCACTAAAGTAACCCAGACCACATCATCATTTGCAGGTTTAAATTATCTTCTAGTAGCGGTCATACTAACAGCCAATAGCATCACTCAAAGCATTGAATTAGACCATCGTAGAGGAGGTCATGCCTTCTCATGGAAGTCACACGAGGTGGAGAGATGAGCAGTGCTAAAGGAGCCTGGGTGCTGGAAAAAGGGGAGTAAGTCCTTTAGTTAATTTTTAAAAACATACACAGGAGACAAAAGCACTAAAATGTTAGGAAAACAGATTTGTATTCCTATCATTATAGTGTTCCTTTAAAAGGGACATACTACACACCATAACCACATTAGCTTACTGGAATGGTTATGTTGCAGTGCCTTTCAGCTTATCCGAACAAAGAGTTTAATTTTGTTTGTTTTTTTACTTTGGACAGTAATGATGAGATGTAAGCACTGTGCTAAGCTATCCCCAGCACTCACATCCTTACATTTGCAAAATCTGTGCATTTAAAAAAAAAAAAAAAAGAGAGAGAAAAGAGAAAAGATTGAAGGCAATTTGGGGTTAAATAAACAAAAGAACAATGGTCTGAGCTTATTGGAAGTTTTAGGTTCAGGGATGTGAAAATGATATTCCCCGGCACAAGCAGTTGTTTTAATTCTTTTAGTCCTGCGGTGGGGGGTTATTTATACCAGGAACAGGTAGTGTTAGTTCTGCTCCTCCGGTGGGTATAGCCCTCAGTAACTACTCACTTGCGGTCCATTGCTCTCTAGTGAGTCAGGTAATTGCTCACTTGCGGTCCATTGCTCTCTAGTGAGTCAGAGCACAGCCTCTGGAGGCTTTTAGCTTGCATTCTGACTAACCGAATGCTGAGACCATTAAAGAGCGATTACTAAGGTCTGCATCAGCTCCTCAACACCAAGCATCCACCAAAACAAAGCATTACCAAGACCACGAATCCCACTAGAGTTAACCACTGCTAGACCACCATGGAGTATGACCCTCCCCCATTGGATTAGTATCCCCATACCTGCAAAGAGCCAAGCTATAGGGGGGCTATACAGAGCACCACCACACACTATAACAAAGGGAGAGAGTATGAGAGGGCAGACAGCAAAACACTCTGGGAAATTCACAAAACTCAGCATGTTTGCTAAATAAATTCAAATAGCAAAACAAACCATGTTGATGCTGTAGCGGTGTTATATAATTTTTCCAGATCAGTGATTTTTGCCTCTGTTTTTCCATTCAGATTTAATTTGTAAAAATTCTGAGTTTAGCAGTCAATGTCTTGGAAGGGTTCCTAATCTATGTAACTGAAATTACATTGTGTCAGGACAAATTGACTGGGCTACTACTTTATTCTCTTGGACAAGGGTATATTTTAACAAAAAACAAACAAACAACAAACAAACAAACAAAAGTCCACACCCCTGAGCTCCACCAGCACTAAAATTAATTTGGCTCTGACATATACAGTAAATATTGTTACCCCAAATATTTGCGTTATACAAAACTTAGCAGTGAGCTATTGTTTCAGGTATAGTGCAAACGTCAGCTCTGCCTGGGGTACCTCATGTTTGTTCTTGGACGCTGCGTAATGTAGAGGGGTACAGCCATTCTGGTTTGTAGCATTTACTTGAGCACCTTTCTCAATCAGGGCTTTCACAATATCACTGCGGCCAGCAGAAGACGCAATATGTAGAGGAGTCCATCCTGCCTGCAAGGAAAATAAAAATAACATTAAATAACTCTGGAATGGGGAAAAATAAACGACTCACAGGCCAAGTGTTAGTGAAAAGTTTGTCTTCCCACAAGTTTCATGTCTTCATTAGTTGTCCAATATGTTTAGTGTTAAGCATTATTTGAATTGCTGTTAACGATCTCATCTCTACAAAGACATTGATATGGTTAACAGTTTTTTAGTTTGGCAAATCCTGCTTATCCATGCAAATACCGTTGTATGAAAATATATAACCATTATTCCTCACTGTGGAAAATTCAATGCATCAAATTCAATAATTGTAAGAGAATATAATAAATAAAAAAAACAAAAAATAAAAATAAAAAAAAACACAAAAAATAAAACCCACAACAATAAATACAGAGACATTTAAACAATAAACTAATAGTCCAGACCATTATAATCAAAGAGTTTGTATAAATGACCATATATATCTTCCATACAAAAGATTATATACATCATCCTAATTTGCAAACAAAAATGATGCATTATACTAAAAAGATGTAATTATACAAAACTAAAAAAATATTTAATATTTATCCTTCATTAATAAAAGACAAGATGAACTTATATTAAGATAAGCCTGTATTTTATGAAGGAAAAAAATAGAAGAATGTAAAAAAAAAAAAAAATAAGTGTGTCTGCATAAAAATCAGCTTATAGCTTATCACCAAAAAATAAAAGAATTAATAACAAAAAAACAATTAAAAAAAAAATATATATATATATATTTTTTATTTTTTTCCTTCTATAATTTCTAGGTCATTACTGTGAATTTCTGCTGATTGTACCAATGAGATAAAAAGGGTGTATCACATATTTTTGTAAACTTGTTTACACTTCTCAGTAAAGTAAACTGCACTTTTTCCAATATACTGCACTTTTTCATTAAAAAAATAATTGCACTTCATTTTATAGTAGAAATTTATATTTAAAGGCACAGCGCACCTAATTTTTTTTGTAGTGTTTTTATGAGAGTGCTTTTTACGTCTAAGCACTTATTGGGTTGCTGCTATTTTTGGATATTTAATATTGTATTTCCAAATTTTAATTAGCATCATAAATTCACTCATTGCACTTGGATCACAAAAATACTAAAATAAATTTTTAGAAAAGCAACTTACATCATCTTTTTCATCAACTGGAACACCAATTCGCAGTAAATATTCCACTATGCTTGTGTGTCCTGCAGAGCAAGCCCAGTGCAGCGGTGTCCGATCATCCTAAACAAAAAGGAGAGAAGGCATATTTTATTTATTGTTAAACGCACATTTCTACATACATTTTGAAAGAATATATTCAAGAAATTGCACTGTTTGACTTTGAGCCTTATGCTGAAAATATTGCATGCACTTTCAGAAGAAAAAATAAAAAGTGTAATAATTTAACTATAGAAAAAAAAATGGATGAATTTTTTTTTTCTGAGTTGTAATAAACTTGACTTGTTAATGCTTTCTAAATAATTTGTTGGAAAGTCAAGAAGCACTGTGTGTAGCATATGAACAGCCAAACAGCACAGAAAGTTATGGCCATTCAGTGATGCAATAGCCTTATCGAATACCCAATTTAAAGTTACAGTGTGGCAAACTTGGAATTAAAATGCTAAAATGTCAGTTTACGAACTTTAGTAATATATAGTGCATATCTTAAAGGAGGAAAAAAAAAGACAAAGGTTGTCAACACACATGTACTAGAGCTATATCATGACACAATGAACAATAAAATAGCTATTTCAACAGTGAAGGATTATGAAGGTATTTGGCTCCACTCCTATTGTTGTTAACCCCACTCAAAACATCGGTCAAACAAAAAATACATTTCTTTATGCCATTCATTTACTCTTTTGAGCGCATGACGCACACATCTGTCACTTAAAGTTTAAAGACATAAAAAATGAAGTATTACTTAATACAAAATAAGCAGTTCTAAGTAGAAAGACTATCCATGCACTGATTTGATAATTTTAACAAAATATATTATATAGAAAACAAGAAATGGGACTAAAAAAATCCTGGGCATGAGAGTAATAGAATGGGGAGGGATCCCTACCTTTAATAATCCTAAGGGAAGACAGAGTAAAAGGACAGGAAAGAATAATGGAGACTAAGGTAAAAAAAAGGGGAATGTGTAGTTACACATCCAAAATCAAAAGTAGATATTCAGCATAGAAAAAATGCCTGACAAGTCCTCTAACTACAGGTCTAGGCTGCATATGATCTATAGCCTCATAGATAGAACACAGGTTGATAGATGTAAAATAACACAGAACTGGGCTAAAAAGAAGAGGAAAAAAATGCATCTATAGGGAGAATTAAACACCCAAAACTATGCCCAAACAGGAGCCACTGGAAATAGATTGCTGTCCCTATTTACCTCGGCACTGTGGATAACCACTAGTGCCTACCCGAACCTTCCTCCCTACCTGTCCTAGTAGCTAAAATGTTAAATCAATCCATAAGTGCTACCAAAAGTGATTAAAATTATAAAGAAAAATAAAGTAAAGCTCGACGCGCGTTTCGGCGTTTCAGCACGCCGTCGTCAGGAGCAATAAAATTATAATTGTCAGAACTGAAGTCTACGTGCGATTCAAATTCCCTCAACTATAAGGAAAAACTAGAATATGTATACAGTACTTGGAAGATAATTGACATAAGAACCATCAAGCATATCCTACTGTTAAGTTTGCATTTCTGATTTTTCACCAAGGCAGCATAATTCCATTTCCAGCATGAAATTACTAACTAATTTTCGTTGCAATCCAACCAAAATTTGTCCTACGGTAAGGTGAAAGGTCATGCAGAATTGATCTAAAAACTGTGATAGGGGTGATAAATAAATTTAAACATACGACTCTTAAGAATAAATCTAATTTCTTTCCTAGCTATTTAAAATCAGATGCTATGAAAATTTTTGAAAAGGTTTTTATTAAAGAAATGACGAAAATTAAGCCTATTAAAGAACAGAAAAATAATTTAACCAAAAGTGAAAGAAAAGCATTACAAGATTTAAAGAAAAATTCCTCGATTGTTATTAAACCTGCCGATAAGGGGGGTGGGTGTTGTTATATGGAAAAAGGAACAATATCTTAAAGTAATTTTTGAACAATTACAAGATCAGGAAACATATTTGTTATTACAGAAAAACCCTTTAGAAGATATAAAGAAAAAACTGAACAGATTTATAAATCAAGGGTTAGAACTAGGGATATTAAACAAAAAAGAATATGATTTTCTTAATGTAAAGTTCCCGAGAATTCCAGTTTTATATGTTTTACCAAAGGTACACAAAAATATAGAGAATCCCCCCGGGAGACCAATCGTGTCGGGAATTGGCTCCCTGTTATCACCCCTATCACAGTTTTTAGATCAATTTTTACAGGATCCTGTGAAAAGGTGTCCTTCATATTTGAAAGATACTATGTCACTTTTACAAATTTTAAATAGTTTTAATTGGGAAGAAGGTTTAATTATGGTGACCTGTGATGTCAGCAGCCTCTATACCATTATCGAACATGAGAAGGGTTGTGAGGCTGCGAGACATTTTTTAAAAAAGATACAGATCTGAGCCCTGAGCAGATTGATTTCATTATAGAGGGTATCCAATTGATCCTTTTTAATAATTTATTTTGGTTTGAGAAGAATTTTTATTTACAAACCAAGGGAACAGCTATGGGGACCAGATTTGCCCCGAGCTATGCTAATTTGTTTATGGCGTATTGGGAGGAATCTGAAATTTTCTCCAATCCAGAGCTCGGGACAAGTCTGGTCCTCTACAAAAGATACATAGATGATATTTTTTTTTAATATGGAAGGGTATACAAGAAACTTTAAAAAGCTTTTTAAATGATTTGAATAAGAATAATTGGAATATTAATCTAACTTGGGAGATCAGTACTAAAATTGTTAATTTTTTAGATTTAAGTATTTATATAGAAGAAAATAAGATTAAGAGTAAAACTTTTTTTAAAGCTGTAGATGTTAAAAGTTTTATTAATTTAAAGAGTTGCCATTTTAAACCCTGGTTGACTAATATACCCAAAGGACAGTTTTTAAGAATAAAGCGTAACTGCACAGAATCGGTACAGTATGAAGAACAAACAGGAGTGTTAATTAAGCAATTAGTTGAAAAAGGGTATAACCAAGACTCCTTAATTAATATAAAAAATGAAGTAGGACAGGAATTAAGAGAAAATCTTTTAAAATATAAAATAAAAGAACAAAAAGAAGATAAAAAGACTGTACCGATTATTCTTAACTATAGTTCTCATAGTAATCAATTACAAAAAATTATAAAGAGGAACTGGTATATTTTAGAACAAGATCAAGATATTCATCCGTATTTGGGAATCCAACCTAAAGTGATTTTTAGAGGTGCGAAAAATATTAAACAAGTTTTAACTTCAAGTTTTATAGATAAAGAAAGAAACCTGCAAATTTCATCTATGTTTAAGAAAGAAAAAGGCTTCTACTATTGTGGAACATGTAGAGGCTGTATTTTGAGAAATAAGAAGAATAAAAATGTTACTAAGTTTACTTCTTTCCAAAATAAGAAAACACATGAGATAAAATCTTTTATAACATGTAATTCAAAAAATGTGATATATATGATAGTTTGTCCCTGTGGTTTACAGTATATTGGAAAAACCTCTAGATTATTAAAAATAAGGATTAGGGAACATATCTATAATATTAACAGAAAATTTGCTCTACATAATGTTTCCAAACATTTTTTGGAAGTTCATGGAGGAAATATTAATGGATTTGAATTTTTAGGAATAGAGGCTGTGAAGACCCATTGGAGAGGGGGCGATATAGAGAGCCTCCTCAGTAAAAGTGAGATGAAGTGGATTTTTAATATGGAATCACTGTCCCCAAATGGTTTGAATATTGATTTTGAGATTAATTCATACATATAGTCCTTTATGTAATCTAGTAGTACTTTTGATCTTTTAGGATTTTTTATTGGATTTTTATATATGTTTTTTATAATCTATATGGTGTTTACAAATTTATATATTTAATTTTAAGATTATATTAAGATTTTAAATATATGTGTCTTATTCCCCCTCTTTTTAATAGGTTGGAAGCACCTCTTTTCAGATTTATTTTGAGAGGTCTAACTTTGAACGTTTTTTATTTATGGTATGTCTTATCTTTTTGTTAATATGTCGAGTATATATGTATAAATGTGCAAGAGACTGACAGTATGGTCTAAACGGACTTTTCAAAATGGTGCCGATAATACTTCCGGTTTCGGCAACCGGAAAGTATCCAGTTGTTCGTTAATATGTATAAATATATAGGTGTAAATATGCAAGAGACTGGCATTAGGACTTAAAAGGACTTTCCAAAATGGCGGCGATAATACCTCCGGTTTCGGCAACCGGAAAACGTCATGACGTTGGTGACGTAGATGAAAACGTCTAGACGCAATGAATGTTACAGACGCAGATTGATGACGAAAGCGGAAGCCACAGGAGAACGCCGAAAAAGGGCGCTAAGATTTGAAATATAAGGAAGAAGATGGAGATGATGAAACCAGACCACTTGAGAAAGGCTGATATTGCCGAAACGCGTCGTGGTAAATTATAAGGACATTTTTATTTGTATCTATTATATGTAGTGATTTTTTAACAATAAAATCAGTTTGTATTGGATCCTGCCTTTTGGAGTGATTCTAAAGAAGTGCTTCCAGTGCGGATTCATTGGGATTGATACAAGACGTCCAGAATTGAATAAATTCTCATCTCCACACAAGCCTTAAGTCTGAGTCAGCTTTTTAAGTGACTCAGCAATATGTGAGTTTAACCAGTCACACGTAAACATTTGCACATATTTTAAACAATATTACTCTATGTTTTTATGTCTTATGTTTTTAGATATTTCATCAAACAAGTTCTGGTAAAATATTGTATTTGCATGTATTGAGTGCTCTCACCAAATTTTATTTTCTGCACTATATTTGATTTTTGGTGTGTTGGAGTGATTCACACTAGGTGATAGTAGCACCACAATTATACTCTGTTTCCCTTATAACCCCCTAGTTTTTGTACACAAAGGAAAGTAAGCTCTCCATAACTAGGGGCATGGTTATGGAGAGTTTTGCAAGTAAACAGAAGAACTTTGAACCAAATCCTAAGTGAACCAGGAAGCGAGTGTAGAAACTGAACGAGGGGTGGATACATGAGATGGGCAGAGTTGTATATTACAGACTATTGAGGGGGCAATCTTTTCAGGGTTACAAAAAATCAAGGTGGGAAACAAGAGCATGGACAAGTGTCTTAGTTGAGTTTATGAGTGAGAAAGGGGTGAACGTGAGAAATGTTTTTAAAGTGAAAGCGACAGGATTTGGTGATTGATTTTATGTAAGGGGTGAAGCTGTGTCACTATGTATATTTGGGGATATTGGAGGCTAGTCCTTGTGTTCAATAAAGCATCTTGGGTATTCTTGCCACCTGGACATGAATGTTATCTCTGTTAAGGACCACTCCATGCACACAGACCACTTCATCTCAATCCAGTGATCTAAATGCATTTTTGGTTTAACCCTGCTATATAATACATTGTAATTTTGTAGAAACGGCAATGATTTCACTAGTGGCTTTCTTCCTGACAACAATTACAGGCGCTTCCCTTTGAGAACAGAATCAACACTGTTCTGCATTTGATATGCACACTAGTATCCCAAAACTTCCCTATAAGTGTGCATTGGATCAGCAAAGTTTATTAATCTTGGTCTCAGCCAGGAAGGTCTTGTTCTCAATATTGACAATAGCTTCTTGATAATCCTCAATAGTACCCAAACAATGCTCTATGTAGAAGTTATATTTAAAAAAAAACAAAACGTTATAGGCAATTTAAGCCTTAGTCACACCTACCGGGATTTGGGTTGCTTTGCTGCATCAGGACCTAAACCACTAGACATCACTGAATGAACCATGAATTTTGCTTAGAATCCGAGAACGCTTCTGCAGGAGCCCAAAAAGTAGGTGAGATTTCTCAGTCAACCAGGATACTCCCCAAAATATTCAATATACCTATCAGAAACCCCTGCCCTTATCAGACTTAAAATACATACCTTGGGAGTAGGTCCCCCCATTAATTACACAAAATTACTAAAAGAAGCCACAACACTGGCACAGGTTTGCAGGTAGAATCAGGCCCACAACATTTGGTTTTAAAGGAAGTACAGGTATGCTGTTCATTAGCATAAACTGACATTCCACCAATCTGTATTTTCTTTATGACCAAATATTGTATTATTGGGTGAATTATTTATATGTTGGGTAAATGCCACTGTATCACAAGTAGCCATATACTGTGTGTAAATATATTGTTGTTAAGACCTTTTACAGGTCTATGCTGCAATACTGTCAGAAATATCTGGTGATGGCTGAGGTGAGGCTAACCTCTGGCACGCCATATGTAAAGGATCTGAACTCCAATCATGCTCAGCCAGCCAGAGATGCAGTGTACAGGTGCTGGACTTCATATCTGGTGATGGCTGATGTGAGGCTAACATCTGGCATTCTATATGGGAAGGATCTGAACTCTAATGATGCTCAGCCAGCCAGAGAGGCAGTGTACAGGTGCTGGACTTCATATGTAAAGAATTTGAACTCTAATGATGCTCAGCCAACCAGAGAGGCAGTGTACAGGTACTGGACTTCATATGTAAAGGATCTGAACTCTAATGATGCTCAGCCAGCCAGAGATGCAGTGTACAGGTACTGGACTTCATATGTAAAGGATTTGAACTCTAATGATGCTCAGCCAGCCAGAGATGCAGTGTACAGGTACTGGACTTCATATGTAAAGAATTTGAACTCTAATGATGCTCAGCCAACCAGAGAGGCAGTGTACAGGTACTGGACTTCATATGTAAAGGATCTGAACTCTAAAGATGCTCAGCCAGCCAGAGAGGCAGTGTACAGGTACTGGACTTCATATGTAAAGGATTTGAACTCTAATGATGCTCAGCCAGCCAGAGATGCAGTGTACAGGTACTGGACTTCATATGTAAAGGATCTGAACTCTAATGATGCTCAGCCAGCCAGAGAGGCAGTGTACAGGTACTGGACTTCCAGCAAAGTGTTCCCTAATGTATGCCATTGTTTGCTTTTCATTTACCTGGTCCTTCACGTTGGCCAGACACCTGTCTGCGCTGATCCTGCTTTGCAGCCCCTCCAAGTCTCCTATGTAAGCCAGGTTACACACCTCCACATTGGACACCCTCACATCCTCCATGCTGACTAAGGGAGAGCACAATAAAGCCGCCTGGCCAGACCACCAATCAGGAGTTCGCATGAGTTTGACGTCAAACTGTCGGACGCACTTTGGCGCTCTGCATTCCGGGAGTTGTAGTTCTCTACCTCCTTTCTGTCAGGAAACTCTAGCGGCAGCTGGCGTCTGCGCAGAACTACGCCTCCCATCGAGCAACGCGCCAACTATTGTTGTGGACGAGATTCCACCGGTCCCTGGGTGACAGGGCAGTGATGGAGGCCGGTAAGTGCCCTGCTTGCACTGGGTGTCGGGGATTACGCCAAGGGTGGCTCACGGAAACTTGGCAGCTATAGATTGCGAGCTCTTCAGACCCAGGAAATGCCTATTAGTTGCGGGTTCTTGTGTGTCAGTGTTTTGTTACGCTGTTTGCTTTTCCTTGTTTGTGCTGAGCTGGGATTCATCGTCTAGACTGGCAAAGCATCATGGGAGTTGTAGTTCCACAATAACAGGGAGAGGGGTTCTCTCCCTGATCAAATGTTTACTTGTTCCAGGGGCAGGGGGGGGGGGGGGTCAGATGGTTTTTTTTGTTTGTTGTTTTTTAGGGGGGGAAGGGGTTACTGAAGTATATGAAGTTTGAGCCTGTAATATGTCAGTAATAAATATATACAGGGGTATTCTCCAAAATGTAAATTGTGGGGAATTTAGAAAAAAAAATTGAAACATTGTTGAGTCATCTACTTCTAAATGAAGTGTTCTGAGTGCTATGTTTCTGTCTGTTTCGCCCAAAAACTAAAAACATTGCCGTTTTTGCAGGAAGAGCTGTGTTGTCATTCAGGTTTAACACATTTTTAGACATCCACTAGTCACGCTTCCACGGATAAAACAGAGTTACATTCAGTTATAGCTTTAATGACTCTCATTGATTGGCGCAGCGCTTCTTTTCCTGCACATGCACACTAGCCTTCCCGTACGCCTTATAGGGGAGCACTGGATTGGCCGAGCTCATCAGTCTTGGTGATTTCAGCCAAGTAGGCGGAGTGGACGTACAGAAACCAGCGTGCTGCATGATGTACCTACATAAGTAGGGGAACACTATAGCATTAGGAATTCATGTTTGTATACCTAACACTATAGTTTTCCTTTAAAGGACCACTATAGTGCCAGGAAAACATACTCGTTTTCCTGGCTCTATAGGGTCTCTAGGTTCCCTCCACCCTCAGGGCCCCCCTCCCGCTGGGCTCTAGGGGGTGGAAGGGGTTAAATTTACCTCTTTTTCCAGCCCTAGGCGGGGGACTCTACTCCTCCTTCTCGTCGTCATTGGCAGAACGCGCATGCACAGCATTCTCAATGCTTTCCTATGGACGTTGGCGTCTTCTCACTGTGAAAATCAGTGAGAAACGCTGAAGCACCTCTAGCGGCTGTCAGTGAGACAGCCCCTAGAGGCTGGATTAACCCTATTAGCTATGTTTATAGAAGAAAGGGTTAATCCTAGCTGGACCTGGCTCCCAGACCACTTTATTAGGCTGAAGTGGTCTGGGTGCCTATAGTGGTCCTTTAATTCTGTTTGTTTGTTTTTTGTTTTTTTTACCTGAAATTTACTTTGTATTCTTCATATTTCACACTTTAGTAAATGACCTTGCCTTAGATATAAAGTGTATGTCATCTAATGCAGAATGGGTAACTGTAAAAAAAACAAAAAAAATCCTGGAAACTTTATGGCAGAGCTTTTAAAGTGGCCCTTTAGCTTCTGAGTATTTCATAAATCTAACATTTTCAAATACTCATTATTATTATTATTATTATTATTGCCATTTATATAGCGCCAACAGATTCGGTAGCGCATTACAATATTATGAGAGGACAATTTAACTATAAATAGGACAATTACAAAAAACTTACGGGAACAATAGGTTGAAGAGGACCCTGCTCAATTGAGCTTACATTCTATAGGAGGTGGGGTGTAAAACACATTAGGACAGAAATTTGCAGTCAAATAAGGTGGGCTGCCCTTTAGGAGAGAGCAAGAGACAGGTATGTGAGGTAGAGGTTAGTCTTGGAGGCCATAAGCTTTCCTAAAGAGATGGGCTTTAAGGCACTTCTTAAAAGATGCAAGACTAGGGGAGAGTCTGATGGTGGTAGGCAGGCTGTTCCATAGGAAGGGAGGTGGTCACGGGCAGAGCGGAGAGACCGAGAAGGGACATACCTATGGATCTGTGGGGAGATATGAGGAGCTAGAGTTGTTCAGTGCTTTATAGGTGTGAATTAGTACCTTGAATTGACTCCTATAGCATACAGGAAGCCAAAGTAAGGACTGGCAGAGGGGTGAGGTGTGAGAGGACCGACTAGAGAGGAAAATCAGTCTGGCAGCAGCGTTCATTATGGACTGTAGCGGTGCAGTGCGGCTTTTGGGCAGACCAATCAGGAGAGGGTTACAATAATCCATGCGGGAAATTACTAGAGCATGGACAAGCTCCTTGGTAGTATCTGGTGCGAGAAAGGGGCGGATGCGGGCTATATTTTTAAGATGGAATCTACAGGATTTGGCAATATGCTGGATGTGAGGCTCAAAGGTGAGGCCAGAATCAAGTATGGCGCCAAGACAGCGCGCTTGCAAGGATGGACTGATGTGGGTACCACAAACTTGAAGGGAGAGCGAAAGAGGAGGATCAGTATTAGGAGGAGGGAAGACAAGGAGCTCAGTTTTAGAGAGATTGAGTTTCAGAAAGCGGGAGGACATCCAGTCAGAGATGGAAGAAAGGCAATCAGTGACACGTTGCAGGACGGCAGGGGAGAGGTCCGGGGAGGAGAGATATAACTGGGTGTTGTCAGCGTACAGGTGGTAGTGGAATCCAAAAGAGGTCATAAGTTTGCCAAGAGAGGCAGTATAAAGCGAAAATAGAAGGGGACCAAGGACAGAGCCTTGGGGGACTCCAGCCGAGACAGGACAAGGGGAGGAGGTACCAGTAGAAAAGGAGACACTGAATGAGCGTTGGGAGAGATAAGAGGAAAACCACGAGAGGACAGAGACTGAGTGATTGGAGAGTTTGAAGAAGGAGAGCATGATCAATAGTGTCAAAGGCCGCAGAGAATTCAAGAAGAATTAGTATGGAGTAGTGGCCTTTGGATTTAGCTGCGATTAGGTCGTTAGTAACTTTGATAAGCGCGGCCTCAGTAGAGTGGAGAGGGCGGAAACCAGATTGAAGAGGGTCAAGGAGAGAGTTTGAATTGAGGAAATGAGACACGCGGGTAAAGACAAGTCTTTCCAGAAGCTTTGAGGAAAAAGGGAGCAGGGATATGGGACGATAGTTAGAGGGGGTGGACGGGTCGAGGGGTGTTTTTTTTTTTATTTTTTATTTTTTTTTAGTAAAAGTACTACAGTTGCATGTTTAAGATCAGCAGGGACAATGCCAGAAGAAAGAGAGCAGTTGAAGATGTGCGTTAAGGAAGGCACGAGACAAGTGGAGAGAGATCTGATAAGGTGAGATCGGACAGGAGGCGAAAAGGAAAAGAGAAGAGCAGCCACCTCTTGGTCAGTAGCCTGGGAGAATGTCTGAAGGGTAGGAAAGGCATGATCTATGTGTGGTTGAGAAACAGAATGGCAAGGAGGGGAGAGTTCTTTCCTTAGCTCTTCAATCTTGTCAGTAGTAAGGTTAGTTTGGGGGGTGGCCACAGCAGGGCGAAGAAGAGAATTAAAGGTGTCAAAGAGATGCCTCTGATTGCATTGGAATTTTATTGAAATTTGCTTCCTCCATCAACCTTTGTCAATTCTAAGCAGTTAAAGATAACTGTGAGAAAATAATAATTCTTCACGTGCATTTGTGAGAGTGCTTGGGATGTTGTGGAATCTTGTTTGGATCTCTATATTGGTCTCCCGCATATGTACAAATGTACTTCAGTGACGCGGAATCCTAATGGATGAAGTATGAAAAGTTGAAGACAAATCCCCAACAGAAAAATGATGATGCCAGCAGAGTGCTTCAGGTGAGTACAGTATATCTCCCATTTGCATGTTCCTATGGGATGGCACACAGTAAGTGGAGATGTCACGCAAAGACACCAAAAGTGACAGCATCACTTTAATTGCTAATCTGTTTTTACAAATTAGATATTTTCAAACTTTTTTTTGTTTGTTTTGTTTTATAGCGGAAAGCTAAGGTAATAGAAAATAATACTATACACGATTAAAAGAATACTTGAAGCACCATAACCACTACAGTCCAGTATAGTGGTTAGTATACCAGGAGCGACCTTTGCATCCTCACAGAGTAATTTGATATGCTGTTTTAAAACAGTTTAACAACTTAACTGTGCCTGCGCCATATCTGTCTTCTCCTTCAAAAGAATCATTTAGCGTTATAAATTCTTTATTAGGACAAATGTCTTTTTATTTTTACATAGTGTTTATCTACATATATCTTATGTAAACAAACAAACTACTGCACCTGACACTGTTTCTTCAGACCTTCTAACCTGGGACCACCCTAACTTAAAGGAACAATGTAGCGACTTCGTGTTCTTGAAGTTGTTATACTTCCTTAAATATGTGCCCTTTGTCCTCTTTCCCTCTCTTATTTTAGGGTCAAAGTGTGGCTCCTTGCCAGGCCCCCAAGCCTTTTGGTTCAGAGAGCCAGGAATGACACTTCCTGGTTGTCATACTGACTCTTATAAGATGCCATGCGTTCTCATAGTTCTAGCCACAAAGGACTGCTGTCAGTGCTGGAATTAGTACATTTTTTTTAAAGTAAGGGAGGCGCAATAAATATATAAGCAATCTATTTTACATAGAGGAATTAGAAAAAGAAAAGTTTATATATTCATTGCAGTGTTCCTTTTATATTTTTAACCAGCTGCCCAAATATTTAATATAATCAACATGGTTGGAGAGTCTTGTAATTTTCCTTTTCATTTTACGGTTTGTAAATAATCTCTACCTACTGTTATGTCGGGATCGGCTAGCTAAAAATAGTAATTTTAGAGGTCCCCAAATGCAAGCGATTGCTGTGGCCTATGGTGTTATGGACAGCAGGAGTGCATGCCAGGATCAACTCTCAGCTAGGTGTTGCTGGCTGCACTACGTGTTGGGAGTGGTTATGGTGCCTACAGTGTTCTTTTAATCAGTACATTGCATTATGAGTTTCCCAACACAAATCGTGCACATGATTTGTTGATGACAGGTTAAAGGGACACTGTAGGCACCCAAACCACTTCAGCTCATTGAAGTGGTGTGGGTGCTTTGTCCTGTTTGAACCTAGTGCTGCAATGTAAAACATTGCAGCACTAAGTCTGCCCTCAGTGGCTGTCTACCAGACAGCCACTAGAGGGCTTCTGGAATCGTAACGGACTTTTGGTCCGTTATCTGACGCTGGACGTCCTCCCGCTCTGCATGAGGACCTCCAGCGTCAGATTTTACCCCATAGGAAAGCATTGATTTAATGCTTTCCTATGGGGAAGTCTAATGCGCTCACAGTGTTTGCTGCGTATGCGCATTAGACCCTGCCCATCGCAGGACGGAGGAGGGGACAGAGCTTCGACCCAGCACTGAGGGACATCGGCGCTGGGATAAGGTAAGTAAATTAAAGGTTTGTAACCCTTTATTTACCGGGGGAGGGGGCGTGAGGGAAGGGGGAGGCAGAGGGATAGGTAGTGCCAGGAATATATCTTTGTATTCCTGGTACTACAGTATCCCTTTAACTGTAAGAGGTTAATGGATCACCAAAGGCTAGACATGCGAGCTGTTTCAGATCCACACAGTTTTGAAAAGTAAGGAGTTTTCCAGCTTCATGTTATCAAGTCTAGTCAAGCAAGATGATTAGTGTCTCTGAAACCTCCTCTTAGACCAAGGAATGACAAGCTCCACAATAAATATGCAATTATGTGCAGCTAATTTTAGAACGCAAGAGCATGACTTTGTATCAGTTTCATTTACAACAGTAAGGACTCTGGAGTTTCATTGCCTGTAGCTTGATTTGGTTTAGTGAAGGCCTGAGTCATGTTGCCATTTAATCTGCTATGATAGTAAACCGATCGTGGCAAGTAACGTGCATTACGCTAGGAAGCCACAGCAGCAGTTCTTAAAAAGAAAAACAAGTTAAGACGCGGCCCAATTCCCATGTTGCTTATCCACCCTTAAAGAAAATATTGAGCTCCATAACCACTACAGGGTTTAAACGGTTTATGAATAATTTTACATTTCACTGGCTCTTGTTGGGCTTCCACCGTAGTGGCATACAAAAAGTGATCCACGTGCTGTGTGTCTTTGGGGCTTAAAGTATAATTTTAAAGTTGCTTAGAATCATGAGTTACGATCCACAGCATCTTGAAGCCTTGTGCAACAACACTTAAACACACAACCTTTACCGGTCACCTAACAGTAATTTTGCTAGGTCTCTTAATTGTAAGTGGAGTGGTATTAATGTTGCATTCTTATGAATGGTGGACATTTCAATTTTGCTTTATTTAAAGCATCTATGCACCATAACCACTGCAGTGTGTAGTCTGTCCTGGCACTGCATTACTGGTAAGTATAATGACTATTTTTTCCTTATTATTTTCAAAGGAGGGGATTCATAATCTAAACCAGGGGTCCTCAAACTCCGGTCCCCCCAAATGTTGCTGAACTACACTCCCATGATTCTTTGAATTACATAGATAGCCAGAGAATCATGGGAGTTATAGTTCAGCAACATCTGGGGGGCCGGAGTTTGAGGACCCCTGATCTAAACCTACTAAACAACACATACGATGTTAAAAGAAATAAACAAAACTATATATTTTTAACGTTGGTGTGTTTCTTTAAATTTTCTTACATACTGCTTTATTATTATTATTATTATTATTATTGCTTATGCCACTGCAGCGGTTAACGCATTTGCGTGTTTTGTTTGGTGTGCCTAGCAAAGGATATAAATTAAAATAAAAAAATCTCTTTTTTAATTTTTTTAAATTAGTTTAACAAGTAGCTAAATTTCAGTTAGCTGTTTAAAACTACTCCTATAAGCGAATGGAACATATTGCTTTGCTTGGATTTTAATTAGCAGCAGTGATCATGAGTTTCTGAGTTAGGGACATCTGACCTGCTTTCTAATCAGGGTATCTCACTTCCGCTTACTGATTCTTGTGTAACAATGCTAGGCTGCAATTTTATTTATTTATTTTTGCCCATAGAAATTGGACATGTAAGGAAAAGCTCTAACATTTTTTATATATTAGATCTGTTCTTTTTTTGGTGACTATGGGCCCTCCTTTTTTAAATAGTAAATAAATAATAATATATATATATATATACTTGTAATCCAGTGCTGGGAAAGTCTCATCTCTGCAGTCTGATCTACCCAAAGTGAAACCATAAATTATGATGACTTCAGGTCCAATCCAATGTTTCTCATAGCAGAATTGTAGACTTATGGCACATGCATGGCAATCACCACGATCTGCCAGTCCACTGCTTCTCATAGAATTCACTGCTGAATCCAGAATTTCTATGAAAACTATTAGCTGCATTTGGCACCATCTTGCTGTGCGTGATTACACTGAACGTGAAGTCTTTAGAAAATTAAAGGTCTTAAAAGAGGAAGCACGTCCAGTGACTGTCTAACAGCCATGAGAGTTGTGTTTTTTTTGCCAAATGAAAACATTGCCTTTTCTTAGAAATGGAAATGTTTTACAGAGATAAAGGTAAGTGACTTTGTGCCAAAACCACTTCTTTATGATGTCTGAATTATTTATTTTTGAGCCTGTTACAAACTTGTCCAGATTCCTGGAGTATACTTTTAAATCACTGAATTAACATATTATACTTGGTGATTTTTGTTTGTTTTAATTTTTACCGGTCAGAGTTGGAAATATTGGTAATCCATACTAATAATAAAGTAAGATAACATTCTATTTAAGCACTGTTGTGTGTCAAGAACAGGAAAGTGGTTTGTCTCATTGAGATGAGATAGTTATTTAATCTACTGGGAGTTGTGGAGAGTTGACAAGATGAATTCAATTATTAGGCCAAAGTCATTGATTTGGAAGAAAGTCAAACTGCTATTTCTCCCGCTTTGCTGTGTTGGTTTTACAATTTGCAGTGGCTCATTCTCCTGTATTCTCTTATTTCAGCTTTATTAAAGTATGAATATCAAGCTGCCTTTCCTGACTGCCTAGATCTGGAGGAACTGCCTGATACAGATGAGCCAGTTTTCATTCTAGGAAAGCAATATGACATTAAAACAGGTTTGTTTTCTCAATGCAGACGTAACACGGATATAGGAAGTTGAAACAGGCAAATTGTGCTTGGCTGGGGATAATGGGAGTTGCATTAAATTGCTGTTGGGAAGTTATTCCTGTAATACTTGACAAATACAAAATTGCTTGCTTTTCTCCTGTAGCACCAGATGGGGGGAAGGCTAGTAGTGGAAGGAAGGGGAAGAGAACGAGAGGGCTCTTGTTAAATTATTTTGGTTACTTTATCCATTTGCATCACTACTCACAAAGGTAAGATATGATGGATGAAGCAGAGCGTTTTTCTAACTTTAAAATGAAGTCACCTGTATGCATAAAACGCTTGCCGCATTAGAAGACTTTCTGTGAAGTGTCCTTGTACCAATGAAGTCCAATAAACAGGGTTAGTTTTTTTTTGTTTTTTTTTTCTCTCATTCCTGTGTCATTTGAACCCATCCTTTGTGATGGATTGCTGAGCGAATTAACTGAACTGGGGCTTGTCCTGTCCTACTATATTTATTTCATCCTACTTGAATGCTATGGTGAGAAGCAACTAAGCTTGTAATGACTTCTGGTATGACATCCACAACATGGTGCAATTATATTTATATACATGTTTGTGGATATCCCTTACTGATTGCTAGTTTACAGCCAAGACTTGTTACAAACAGCTGCACTATTTTCTGTTTTGAACACAGCACAGGGGGAAGGGATACACAGCAGTTAAAGCTTCCTAAATAAACATTAGAATGTGCTGAGGTAGCCAACGGCTTATATGTACACAGAATGATAAACTTTGTATTCTGGTCTAATCAAAACTATTCTATGATTACGGTAAGGAAAAGATATTGCACAAACGTAATCTCCTATTTCAGTGTTTCAGGCTCAGACTACCTTCTGATCTGCACGTTTTAGTGCATCTCCATTTTAATTCCTTAGCCATAGGTGTCTTATCACCGTTATTTAATTTTAAGGAATTATATCCTAGAATTTTATTGCTAAATATCATGGCAGGTTTTCTCTCCTCAATCACTCCACATAACATTTATACTCATTTAACTATTGGCCAATATCATTGCTCCCAGTATTGTCAGAAATCTTAGAAAAATGCGTCCATACGCAACTATGTGAGTATTACCAACAATCAAATTATCTGACCCCTGATCAATTAGGCTTTCGCCCGAATCACTCAACTACAACTGCCCTCTTAAAAGTTTGCAATGACATCCAAACTGGCATGGAACAAGGATACCTAACTGGAGCTGTTTTCCTTGAATTTGCAAAGGCCTTTGACACAGTAGACCACGACATTCTACTGGACAAACTAAAAAACTCAGGTATTGGTGATCGTCCCCTAACCTGGTTTCCATCATATGTATCGGATCGATCACAATATGTGTCCATTTCCAACAGCGACTCCCTCTCTCTCCCAGTCACGTGTGGTGTTCCCCAAGGTTCCATTCTCGGGCCCCTACTATTCACATTATTTATAAATGATCTGCCTAATGTCTGAAAATCCTCAGCTGTACACATGTACGCAGACCACACAGTAATCTATACAAGCAAATCCGATGTACCGCAGCTTGAGGCTGTGCTCCAAGACCAGAGGAAAAGTGGATCACAAAAACAAACTCTTCCTAAACAATGACAAAACTGTCACAATGCGCTTTGCAACAGTACCTAAATTACACAAAATTCCCATATATACATCAAAGCAAAATCAAATAGTACACTGACCGCAGTCTACTCTTTCTAATACTTGGGTATGTTGTTAGACCCCAATCTGTCTTTTGGCGTCTAAATAGAAAAACTTGCATCAAAACTTTATCTAACTAGGTGCCCTGTACAGAAACAAATCCTGCCTAAGCCCTAAAGTAAAGGAAAATATTGTAAAGCAAATGCTGATGCCAATCATTGATTATGGGGATGTAGTATATGCACCTGCACCGCAAACCCACCTAAATAAGCTTAAAGGACCACTATAGGCACCCAGACCACTTCAGTTTAATGAAGTGGTCAGGGTGCCAGGTCCACCTAGGGTTAACCCTTTTTTTTTTTTATAAACATAGAACCTCTCTTAAACCCTCCTACTTATTCATTTTCTTCATTATCAGCTTCCCCCTCTCAAACTTTCTTCCTTCTCCCCTTTTTCAGCCCTCCTCCTGCTCTTTACTATTGCTGCCTGCCAAAGCATGGCACAGTGGCAAACACACATACACACAGACAGCTATGTCAGACACACACACACACACAGACAAATCAAGTCACATCTATACTCAATAGCACACAGTGCAATAATATTACAGGATCTGTAATGTATGCCCATGAAAGCACAAAAAGAATACAGTGCGATCTAAACCTGTTTTTTAGTCTTCCCTTTATGTTCAGGAACTGTGTTCCTGATCCTCATCTCTCTTCTTGTCTACTCCTGACCACAAATTCTTCTTCTTCTCTTCTTGTTTGTGCTCCAAAGCACTCTTCTCCATGGACCACTGACACAAAATGGCGGCACATCCAGAAAAAAGTTCATAAAGCGAGAGTTCATAAAGTCAGAAATGCCTGTGTATATATCTATATCTGTCTTCACTCCCACCTTATTTGATTGCTATTTCCTGTCCTAATGTGTTTTCTACCCCACCTCATAAAGACTGTAAGCTCGTTTGAGCAGGGTCCTCTTCAACCTATCGTTCCTGTAAGTTTTCTTGTAATTGTCCTATTTATAGTTAAATCCCCCCCCCCCCTCATAATATTATAAAGCGCTATGGAATCTGTGGGCGTTATATAAATGGCGATAATGATAATATCTCAATGTGCTCTCTTATAGATCAACTAATGTATTTATACATACAAGTAGTGTTCTTTCAGAGGGCGCATGTGATTCAAACATTTTATCATTAGGGCAGTCTGCTTGGTTAGGCATACATTCACAGGCATCGCTACTGATTTCTTTTAAAAATTAGATAAAAATGTCATTTCTATAATGACTGTTCTGTCTGCCTTTACAGAGAAATGTAACCTGTTATGTGATATATCTTCCCGTCTGTGGTTCACATACAGAAAGAAATTCTCTCCTATCGGTAAGTATTGAGTTGAACTGTCTGATACCCTGTCATTTCTCTGTTTTATTATCACTCTGTTTATAGAGTTGTCTTGCACACTGATGCTCTGTGTAAGTTAAGTAACTTCTCAGATACAAAGATTTATAAGACAGTTGGGAATAGCAACAAAACCTGGGCCATTTTGTTTGCTTGAATGAATGAATTACAGTTGTCATTGCACTTTGCCAATTATTTATATATTGCTTTATATAGTATATCTGCTTATTGCTTTCTTTGATTTTTGACTGTATTTCCCAAGAAGTGTCTGCCTTACTGTGAATGTTTGTATCACAATAGCGGTTTCCATAAAGGCACTTTCAAGCAAGCCCCATTAAACCTTATGTTTCCTGCATAGATTTTGATGCAAGATTGTCCCCTGCCTTGGCCCTCTTTCTTCAATTTTGTTATAACTGTGGCAATTTGCAACTGATGCATTTTGCAGTTGTTACAAATATAAGCTCTCGCTCATGTTGCACAAGTTACATTTCCCCCTGCACATGACATAACATCCCTACCTCCTCTAACTTGCTATTTCATATTGTTATTACACCAGTTAGAGCAATAGAAGACCTGCATGGCATTCAGATACCTGTGAGCACATGCCATAAAATGTATAGCTTAGATCTGTGACATTTTAAAATCCAGTTGGGGTTTTATGAATATAGAGTTCAGCACTGACAACAGTTTCATTCATGAAATACCTGTATGAAACTGACAGCCAAGCTGATAAATACTGCAGCTTCCTTCTAATGAATAGATTTAAAATTATTGCGCTATCAGTAAGCTATGAGATGAAAGTAATTTAATCTGTCAGCTGGGTAAAAAGTTAATCTCCTGCCATTCCTGTGCTTCATCTCATGAATCCCTGCTGGACAAACGTTTATGGAACACATTTCGCTTTCCATTGAACATAACGAGCTAGCCAGGATTGATTGAAATAATTTCATATGATTACTGATCTAGACAGTGCTCACTTCAGCAGTTGCAAAGGAATCGCAGCAAACACATGACCTTGTCAGATGGTTATCCCTCTCTTTTTTTTTTTTTTTTTATGTTTTTATTTAGTTATTATCATTTATCTATATAATTATCATTTATCTATATAAAGCTATAAAAAAAAGGAAGTCATCTTCTATTTGCAGTGTTCCTTTTAGGGACCAGTCGGTATATTGATTTTTGAGAGCTGATAGATGATACCTTACTGATATTCTGTACATTTAACAATCCCCCCCCAGTCTTATTTCCCTCTGTGGCGAAACCGGCCTCGCCACGTGTTCTTGGAGGGAGCTGCTTGCCCGCCTCTTGCCTTTGGACTATGGACCAGACTTTATGTGAATGTGTTAACCCAGATAGCTATGCCATGGAGCCCATTCGTGTAGAAAAGCCATGTGAAACTCGCGGGCCGCATGTGGCCCACAACTAATATTATGCGGCCCACGGTGAGGGAGCGCTAAATGTTGGCTCTCCTCGCAGTGATGCCAGGAGCCGGAATATGACGTCACTCCGGCTGCCGGCATCAGCGCTCCCTCACTTCCTGTCCGCCTGCCTGCCCGCCCAGCAGCCCCACTAGACCCCAGGTTAGAAACCAACTCAGTCTGCGTGTGTGTATGGCTGTCTGTATGTATGGCTGTATGTGTGTATAGATTTATGGCTGTATGTGTATGGCTGTCTGTGTGTATAGATTTATGGCTGTGTATGTATATGGCTGTTTGTGTATGTGTATGGCTGTCTGTGTGTGGCTGTCTGTGTGTATGTGTGGGTCTGTCTGGCTGCGTGTATGTGTGTGCTGTCTGACTGCGTGTGTGTCTGTCTGACTGCGTGTGTGTGTCTGGCTGCGTGTATGTGTGTGTCTGATTGGCTGCGTATATGTGTGTGTTTGTCTGGCTGCGTATATGTGTGTGTTTGTCTGGCTGCGTGTATGTGTGTGTCTGTCTGGCTGCGTGTATGTGTGTGTCTGGTTGGCTGCGTGTCTTGCTGTGTGTATGGCTGGCTGCGTGTGCCTGTCTGTCAGTGAATGTGTGTGTCAGAGTGATTCTGTGTGTGTGGGGGGAGGGAGGGGAGGAAGGGGGTTCAAGGAGTAACGGAGGATCCGCTTTTTTAAGGTGCGGATGGGGCCACTAGGAGTATGCCAGAGGCTGCTCTCTGGACACTGCTTGTTGGCTGTTTTTTTTTATTTTTATTATTATTATTTATTTTATTTTTAAACAGAGGCAGGAGTTTAGTAGACGGGGGGACTGGGATATAGTAGATGAGGGGGGGATAGGATTTTGTAGACTAGGGTAGGATTGAGATTTAGTAGACGAGGGGGAGGGCTGGAGTTTAGTAGACAAGGTGAAAATTTATGTTTGTTTTTTTGCGGCTCACATCCACTTAAACTTTGTTTATTTGGCCATTGCTAGCCTTTGAATTTGACATGCTTGGTGTAGGACATGTGTCTATGCTTTTGATGCAGATTCAGTTCTCCCTACGCTGTATACATTTAATTAAACTACAGTGAGAATACACGCGTGCCTTATTATCCAAAAATATTAAATCATTTCAAATTCTTATCTAAAAGTATTAGAGCGAGACCTGATTATTTCCTAACGTCTGTCTATTTGTTCCTTATGAAAACATAATCGGTTTCCTTACATCTTCAAACAGGAGGAACAGGTCCATCCTCAGATGCAGGTTGGGGGTGTATGCTGAGATGTGGACAAATGATGCTAGCACAAGCTTTAATATGCCAACATCTAGGCAGAGGTAAGTTTATTGTTCTTTTGTTTATTGCCCATTATTATCATTTTTATTTTTGTAAATCTATTTTTTATTTAAGCGTTTGCTGTGTGGAATAGAAGTACAGAATGGGACTCTTTGGTACCAGGACCCATAAATCCAAGTTTGACAAGTATTACTAATATAATGAAAAGTCTCAAGTCTATGACATCTGGGCTCTCCTGGGGTATGACATCTGGGCTCTCCTGGCACAAACACTGCAGCATGCTTTAAAGTGACACTATAGTCACCAGAACGACTACAGCTTATTGTATTTGTTCTGGTGAGTAGAATAATTACCTTCAGGCTTTTTTGTAGTAAACACTGTTTGTTTGTTTTTCAGAGAAAAGGCAGTGTTTACATTACAGCCTAGGGATACATCCACTGGGCACTCTTTAGATGGCCACTAGAGGTGCTTCCTGGGGCCGTGCTGCACAGTGTGCAGTACTGTCATTCGGTGTCACCACCCTCTGCATGAAGACACTGAACTTTCCTCATAGAGATGCATTTATTCAATGGATCACTATGAGGAGATGCTGATTGGCCAGGGCTGTGTTTGGCTTGTGCTGGCTCTGCCCCTGATCTGCCTCCTTGACAAGCTCAGCCAAGCATTGTGATTGGCTCAGATCATAACTTCTTATGATGTCAGCCAAGCAGGCAGATCGAGGCGGAGCCAGCAGCAGCAGACTGCAATAAAAGTGAGATTTTACTATATTTAGGGGACAAGGGAGCTAGATGGTGTTTTAAACTAAATACATGTTTGTGTTCCTGACCCTATAGTGTGCCTTTAACTTGATTAGTATTTGGGAAAATGGCCCCACTTTTCATGCATTACATCTTATCAAAAGACACTCTGGAAGTGCCTGGTGTGAAGCACTCTCAGGTAATTATGGCAATTTCATTTATGTGACAATTATTTTATGTTTTAATTTATTTTTTCTTAGATTGGCGATGGGAGAAACACAAAAAACAGCCAGAAGCATACCGGCGAATTCTACATTTTTTTCTTGATCGAAAAGACTGCTGTTATTCTATTCATCAGATGGGTAAGATGTAATCAGTAGCAAGCTTGTTCTTGATTTACTTTCCAGAGAAGCTTTCCTTCTGTATAGATGTTATCATGAATGTATACAAAGAGAAGAGAAAAAAAAAAATCTACCTTTATTCTCTAACACAATTATTTATATAGCGCCAACATATTCCACAGTGCAGTACAATAGGTAAATCAGGACACTTAAGGCTAACAAAGCATATTCGGCATACAGGAACAGTAGCAGGTGAAGCGAATCCTGCCTAAATGAGCTTACAATCTAAAAAGGGACGAAGTCACAGAGGGAAGTGAGGGAATCAAATTATCTGTATATACCTGAAAGGATAGGAGAAGGGAACATACTAGATGAAAGATGGCAGGGGAAGGTTGCGAAAGATGAGTTAAATGGACATTCCACTGCCCAAATTATATAAATATACAAATATATATATATATATATATATATATATATATACACACACAATACACAAGATCCAGCGCACTCACCTATCCACTAAACAGCAACTTCAATGTTGAAAGATTTTTTGTTTTTTTTTAAAACACCTAACCTAGGCAAAAATAATGGGGGTTTAGCTACATTATATGATCATACATTGCATGTTGTGGCAGGCTTATGCAATGTATGATCATATAATGTAGCTAAACCCCCATTATTTTTGCCTAGATTAGGTGTTTTAAAAAAAAACAAAAAATCTTTCAACATTGAAGTTGCTGTTTAGTGGATAGGTGAGTGCGCTGGATCTTGTGTATTGTGTGTGTGTGTGTGTGTGTGTGTGTGTGTGTGTGTGTGTATATGTGTATGTGTGTGTATATATATATATATATATATATATATATATATATATATATGTATGTATATGTATAGGTGAACGCTTGGCACTCACCTCCAAAAAAATATAAATTTTTAACTCACATGCCTGGGTGAGTGCATTTTGATTTTTATTTTTATATATATATATATATATATATATATATATATATATATATATATATATATATATATATATATATATATACTATGTGTGTGTGTTTAAAAGATATACCCCAATGAAAACATGCATGCATTTAATTATGCATTTTGTTAATTCGGGTATATATAAAAACAGTTTGCAAAAGTTGCTGATCTCTTGTCTGCAACCTTTGCAAGCCCTCCCCTTCTTCCCCAACCCAGAATTTCTGTGGCTGTCCAATCACAAACTTACCAATGCAGCTGAAAAATATTTGCAAGGCAGGTGCTCTGGGCCATTGTCTGCCTCTTTGCAGCTATGGAGAGCTTTGTTGGGAAGAAAAGGGCTACTAAACTGGTTCATGGATTGCAGGATAAAACTTACCAGGAAAGGTTAAAGGATCTTAACATGTATAGGTTGGAAGAAAGACGAGACGGGGGGATATAATAGAAACATTTAAATACATAAAGGGAATCAACACGGTAAAGGAGGAGACCATATTTAAAAGAAGAAAAACTACCACAACAAGAGGACATAGTCTTAAATTAGAGGGACAAAGGTTTAAAAATAATATCAGGAAGTATTACTTTACTGAGAGGGTAGTGGATGCATGGAATAGCCTTCCAGCTGAAGTGGTAGAGGTTAACACAGTAAAGGAGTTTAAGCATGCGTGGGATAAGCATAAGGCTATCCTAACTATAAGATAAGGCCAGGGACTAATGAAAGTATTTAGAAAATTGGGCAGACTAGATGGGCCGAATGGTTCTTATCTGCCATCACATTCTATGTTTCTATGAAGCACGAGAACTTTGAACAAAAACCTAAATGAAACAGGGAAGCCAGACTGACAGAAGGATAAGGTGTGAGAGTAGTAGGACATTATTATTTTTATTATTATTTAAAAAGCGCCAGCAAATTCCATAAGGTAGATGAATATGGTAGAGATGTTAATTATTGTAAAGTGCTGCGGAATAAGCTGGCGCCATATAAATACCAATAATAATTATGGACTACAGAGAAGCAGTCTGGGCACTTTCAGTCCTATAAGCAGAGGGCTACAATAAGCAAGGTGGGAAACAATGAGAACATCGACAAGCATTTTGGTCGCAATCTGAATAAGAAAGATGAGAATGCGAGAAATATTTTTAAGGTGAAAGAGACAGGATTTGATGATTGATTTTGTCTAAAGGGCGAACGAAAGGTCAGAGTGAAAGAGCACACCAAGGTAATTTGCCTGAGTTTTAAATGTTATGATTGCTTTGTTGACCTGAAGGAAAACAGACACTGGTGTAGCTTTTAAGGGGGGTGTTTTGCGTTTTAGGAATCATAAAGTCATCTAGTCAATGCTTGTTTGAAGTACAAGGAGAAAATGCCAGAATGAGAAAGTTTGGACAGTTTCAGATGGGAGAGAGTATTTAGAGGGTATCATGTAGGGCAGGAGGAAAGGAAAAGTGCAGAAACCTCTTCAGAAATAGGAGAGAATATGCTAGATCTACAGGAGGAGGTTAGGCAAAGGGTCAGACAGTTGTGGGAGAAGTGAGGGAGGCAATTACTTTTTAAATATTTTCAATCTTTTCTGTGAAACAGGATTCACAATTCTATGTGGTGTGCATTAGTGAATTAAATGTTTTAAAGAGACAGTTAGGGTCATATGAGAAGATGGAGCTGAGGGAGGTGAAGTATGTTTAGTAAGAGAGAAAGTAGAGCTGTACTAACAAAACATAAATTTGTGTGCAGGAAGTTGGTCATACTACAAAACTTCCGTGACTAATATTCTGCCGTGCTTGAGCATATTTAGAATTATTGGGTAGATTTCCTATGCCAGGGTTGGTGTTTAATTTGATGGGCGAGCCAAGCAGTAATTAGACATAGCATATCTAGGGTGCTTGAGAGGTCAGAGTTATTTAAGGTAGTTGTCATAGGAGGACATGAAGTAGTTGAGATTGGTAAAAGGAGATTTTAGGTATCAATGGAAAGCTGCTGCAGTTCAAGGGATTTCATGCTTCTGCAGAGTCGAGGAGTGACACATGAGGATAATTTGGTGGAGGGCAAGATAAGATTGCAGCTGAGGAGGTGGTGAGAGGAGGGGTGTGTTCGTGAAGTTAGTGATAGAACAAAGGCTGGAGAAGATAACGCCTAAAGTGTTCCTGGCTTGGTTGCTTGATGGGTTGGAGAATTAAACTACTGTGTAAATCCCATGGAAGTGGTCATATAGATAAATTTAGAGGCCCTGAAACTAGTAGATGCATCTATAACAATGTTAAAGTCTCCCAGTATCATGGTGCGAATGTCAGAGGACAGGAAATGACGGAGTCAGGCTGAGAAATATTCCAAGAAGGGGGCAGAGTGACAAGGAGGTTGGTAGATAACTTTGAAAAAGGTGTATATTATGGACCTCAAATGAAGAGAAAGAGAGAGGAGGTATAGAGAGAATAAGTAGAAAAGTTCAACAATGCGAAGAGAAGGAGACCCACACAGCGGCCCTTGCAGTCACTAGGTCTGGTAGTATCTGAAAGTTTAAGGGCCACCATAAGATAGGGATGCCAGGGTAGCACAGTCAAAGGTGGAGAGACAAAATTACTATCTGTATCAGGGGAAGAGGTTCAACCAAATAAAGACAATTGGACTTTTTTTTTTTTTGAATAGGAAAATCAGGCCTGTAATATGAAAATTCAGCAACTGAACTGCAGCTGATGAAAAGTACAAATATTTAAATTATCAAATCAACCTTTTATTAATTGCAAAACAGTCATATGTAGTTAAAAATAGATAACTGAACGGCATTCGGCTATTTTATAAACTCATCTGTCTTCAATTTAAGTAAGACACTGAGTTTGAATGGTGTAAATATTATTTATATATTTTATACAGGAAGAGTAGACGGTTGTGTGCAGAAATATACCTCTCCTCATTCATAATATCTGGCAATTATTTCTCTTTTTGTATTGACACACCAGCACAGATGGGTGTAGGAGAAGGGAAGTCAATAGGTGAATGGTTTGGACCAAACACGGTGGCTCAAGTTTTAAAGTAAGTAAAACACCCATTGTGATATTTTCTCCCGCTCAAACCAAGCTTGGGTTATTTTCCATGTCACAGTCCAGTGAAAGTTGCATTTCTCAATGTCTATGTGGATCCTGATTGTTCTTCTTTCTCTTTTTTTTTTTCTTTTCTTCTTTTTTTAGAAAAATGGGTAATTCACTAAAGTAAGAATTCAAACTAAATTTCAAATTTAAGGCTAAAATTAATTAAAATGAGAGCATAGCTGATTTTTACATTTCTCCCAGTTTGGCTATTTTGGTTTTAAATTTGACAGTCACTTTCAATCATCACATTAATGAATAAGTCTGTTAGGTTATTAACAACTGCATATTACTTGTATTTTGTTCATTTAAAAACACTGTTATTTTGAAGTTATTATATGCCGGGAATTCAAAATGACCTTTAAGAGGAAAATGTTTTCTGACATAACCGTCTCACTACGCTATTTTAATAATCGTGTATAAATGATGTGATTTGCTTTATTTACAGGAAACTTGCTTTATTTGATGAGTGGAATTCATTTGCAGTCTACGTTTCAATGGATAACACTGTGGTCATTGAGGATATTAGTAAGTACTGGAAATCAGTTTAATTACTGCAGTTGCAAAATAAGTAATTAAGGTTGGTGTGTACTAAGGGATAAGGAGAGATAAAGAATGTGCATAATCTGTTGTGTACACAAGGATAAATAAGAAACTGCACAGTGTTTTGCCACAAAACATTTAATAGAGTTTAAAGAGTACCTATCTTGTCAGGTTTTATTTTGAGCCCTAACATTTCATTAGGCAAATAATGATCAGTGATATAACTCAATGATATAACATAATGAGATATTAGGTTAGAACCTACCTCCTGTTCAGTGGAGAGCACACCACCACCATGCTTCTGTTGTGGTAGTTACACTGTTATATTACCCACACCCACATCTTCTTTGCTCTACCCTACACTATTGGACCTTCTTGAATGTAGTTGTTTAGGGGTAATCACATTAGAGATGTTTGGGTTGTAAGCTAGGCAGAGGGTGGCTGTGAGCGACGGCTGGAAAGCTGCCTGTAGCAGGGTTCTCTTGCATCCTTCTTGTCAATTAATTTTTTTGTCAGAGGTCTGTGCCAGGAATTGAGGGACATTACAAACATTGATACATTCTGCAAGCACAGTGTGTGCATAACATTGTATGCACTTTAAAAGGACACTTTAGGCACTATAACAACTTCATCTAAACTGTTATAGTACCTGATCATCTAAATTGTTATAGTACCTGGAAATCCCTTGGAATCATCCCTGCATTCATTGTTAATTGATTCCCGACAACCCAGTCCCTCTTAGCCATATCGATTGGGATTGGCTGAGAGCCAATCACTGTCACCTGAACGAAGAAACAGTGCCAGGGGTTTCCAGACACCATAAACACTTTATTTAAAAGGAGTATATGTTGTGTATATCATAACAATACAGTCTAATAATGTTGTACCAATTCAGACACACACTTAAAAAAATAGGTCTTAAGTTAAGTGACCAACACATATTCAGTTTTATATTTTCATATATCTTTGATCATTGACTGTCTTGGCTGGAAAACGTGTGCAAACCTTTGATTCAATTTGTTTTATCATTTCATTTACCAGCAGTGTTTTCATCCAGAGGTTTCCTGCATCTATTCTCCAATTACACACACACTAATATGTTCAGTAAAGATATAGACTTTCTATTTGTATTGTTTTATTAATGGGTCTAAAAAGTAGCCCAGGTTACATTCTTGATCATATTGGAGCAGAAACAGAATTATCAAAAGTTTACACTGATTTTTTGTTATAACTGTGAGAAATGGCATAATATGCAATCAGGAGTGAAACAGAATGTAAGAATACAGTGAGCTTTATAGTGTACATTGTAATAAACAGTTTGTTTGTTTTTCAGAGAAAATGTGCAGTTACCATCCTCAAACCTGTAGCATGTCACAGTGCAGCTCTTATACTCACCAAAGTGCTTGGAGCAGAAGTGGAGACACATCAACACAGTCCTCAGGGTGGAGGCCCCTCCTGCTCATTGTACCTCTGCGACTTGGGATAAACCACATCAATCCCGTTTATGTTGAAGCTTTTAAAGTAAGTAAACTTCTAGTGTGTTAATTCAACTTGATATGTTTGAGTTATTAATCACGTATAGACGGCCGGTGATGGAGTTACACCCTTAACAGCAAATGGGTTAAATTCAGAATGTGCAGGGTTTCATTACAAAATGCTGCACATACAGGCTCCAGGCACCATGACCACTTCAAATTCAGTGGTTATGGTGCTTGGATTAACCCTTTAATAAATGTTCATTTTGTTACATTTAACTTCAATTTTAAATAGGAATGTTGGTTCACGTTCATGCAGTACGCGTGAATGAGAATATAGGGGTCTTTTACATAGAGATAATTAAGTTTTGTCTTACAATACCTATAACTATGCTTGAAGCAAGAATGCGGACATTACTCTGTAAAATGTTAATGGACTTAAAACAAACCGATTTGGCAAATGGTACTTTAACCTACAAATGATAACACACGCATTTTTCTCTCTTGTTTGTCTAGGAGTGTTTTAAAATGTCACAATCATTAGGAGCTTTAGGAGGAAAGCCAAATAATGCTTATTACTTCATAGGCTTTTCAGGTAAGTCATTCAAAATATCAACCATTTGAACAAGAGACCAGACATTGTGCAATCAGTGAACTCTCACATATACCGTAGTGATGCCTCGCTTAGCTATTCAGAGGCTCGTGGTCTACATTTGGTGTGATACTCATCCTGCTATTGTTTCAGTTGAGGTGGTTAATTTGTTTTGTTACCTTGTGCAGGAGACGAACTAATCTACCTGGATCCTCATACCACACAGACATTTGTGGACACAGAAGAAGCTGGCACAGTGCAAGACCAGACCTATCACTGCCAAAAAAACCCTAACAGGATGAAAATCTTGAATTTAGACCCTTCAGTTGCACTAGTATGTTTGTAATCCAGTTGTACATCCCTTAACTTGTAATATACTGTGTAATGAATTAAAGACCCCCAGATTACCATTTTACCCTGTTACCATTTTGTCAGTCAATAATTCAGAGCTTGAAAAAGGCCAATACGTATCACACAGATGAATAGAGTAAAATACATCTTTACACTCCTGTTGATGGTTGTTATGAGAGACATTTGGTCTACCTTTAAAACGGTCTTGAATGGCTACTGAGGAAGCATAAGTCTAGATGCACTTGACTGCATGTACCTGTGCCTGCTACCCAATGATCATTTTGCCAAGTGTGCTTCATCATGAGTGAATTTTATTTTATTTTGTTCGTTGTTTTACCGTGTGTGTGTGTGTTAATTGTAGAACTGCCACTCATACTTATTAACTTTGGATTTTGCAAATCACTCTATTGACTTAATTAGCCAACAATACATTAAGATGTTCTGTGTATGACAGAACTTCTCGTGGAAGTGTTTGTACACAAGAAACGGTGTAAATAAGTGTATTGGTGTAAAAAATTGTAAGCTGTGTAAAACAATACTAAGTCTGATAGGGAGGATCCTGTTTTAACCACATTATCACTAAACTCCCTCCACCAGTATTTTTTATGGGTTCAACTCATACTGCATGTGTCTCCCCGTTAGGCAGCTTTAAATGATAATCAAGATGGTATTAATACATAATGGAGTAAAACCAGTAACTGGAGTACCTGCACTTTTCTAATCATATGATTGGCTTTCTTCTTTAGGGATTCTTTTGTAAAGAAGAAAAGGATTTTGATGACTGGTGCAGGGTTGTAGAAAAGGTAAAAAATAATGTATTACTACTGAATACAAAAATGTCTGCATATTATATTTTGTGCAGTTGTGAGAACTTCAGGGAGTACCTTCCATTTCTTTTAAAATCATTTTATATGTCTATATTTTTACTAATCTGATCTACCTTTTCTATTTCTCAGAAATATCAATCTGTCTGTCAGTCCATGTTAAAGGAGCACTATAGGGTCAGGAACACAAACATGTACTCCTGACCCTATAGTGTTAAAACCACTATCTAGTCCCCTTTGCCTCCCTAAAGATAGTAACATCTTATACTATTGTATTCAAGTCTGAAGCTGCTGCCTGTGAACTTCCTCTGACATCATCAGAAGCTTCCCCTGAGACTGACAAAGAGGCAGATCAGGAGCAGAGCCAGCACAATTCAAACATAGTCCTGACCAATCAGCATCTCCTCATAGAGATGAATTGAATCAATTAATCTCTGAGGAAAGTTCAGTGTCTGCATGCAGAGGGAGGAGACACTGAATGTTTGGATGCATTTTAGGCAGCCATGACCCAGGAAGGATCTCTAACAGCCATCTAAGGACTGGCCAGTGAAAAGACAGTGTTTACAGAAAAAAGCCTGAAGGTAATGATTCTACTCACCAGAACAAATTCAATAAGCTGACTATAGTGTCCCTTTTAAGTGTGTTCCAGCAACACATTAAAACAGTTGCACATAGACAGTGCATCTGTGACCAATCCTCTTTCATCTTACCTTTATTCCAGTCTGCCGGTGCTGGCTTTGCCCCTGATCTGCCTGCTTGGCTGACATCATCAGAAGTGATGAGCTGAGCCAATCACAATGCTTTCCCATAGGAAAGCATTGGATTGGCTGAAATTGCCACGAAGGCAGATCAAGAGCAGAGCCAGCACAAGCCAAACACAGCCCTGGCCAATTAGCATTTCCTTCTAGAAATGCATTAAATCAGTGCATCTCTATGAGGAAAGTTCAGTGGAGACACTGAATGGCAGGGCTGCACACTGTGCAGCACTGCCCAAGGAAGCACCTTTAGTAACCATCTGAGGAGTGGCCAGTGGAAGTGTCCCTTGGCTGTAATGTAAACACTACCTTTTCTCTAAAAAGAAAGTGTTCACTGCAAAAAGTCTGAAGAGAATGATTATATTCACCAGAACAAATACAATAAGCTGTAGTTGTTCTAATGACTATCTAACATTAGGTGAGATCTAACATTCAGAATATCTCAGGTGAGCAATTGTGAGAGGAGATATGTCTCTCACTTCCTAGCCCAATGCCCATCATATGACTAACAGAAGAGGGATAAGATTAACGGCGACAGTCCTCCCATCACTATCATTAAACCTTTGTGATTAGGAAAAACAAATTCACTTGTTTGCTTCACTGAATTATGGGAAAACAATATCTGACCATTGAAATAACAGACTAATATATGTCATGCTTCTTTAATTAAATAATTCAGTTTTTGTTTTAATTGACTGTGCATGAAAGAGACCACTATCTTTGCGCTCACTTATATTAATGTTATATGTGTGATCTCTATTATCAGGAAATTTTAAAGAAGCAAAGTTTACGGATGTTTGAATTGGCACCAAAGCACCCACCACACTGGCCTCCTTTTATACCACCAACAAAACCAGACGTTTCCACCACAGGTGCAGGTATGTATAAATAATATAATAAATATCAGAATTGTGCACCAAATGTCCTCCACGTGATAACTGGGGTTAGGATCGGCTCCCTGCACTAATGGTCAGGAGTCTCCCCGTTTACAGCATGTAAATTATCTTGTATAATTTGTTGCAAACAAGTGCTTGCTAATTGATTAGCCCTTCTGATTAGCTTCACTGTGTTTAATATAAATAGTGCTAAGAGAGCAGATCCAAATTTTTGTGTTTCTTTACTTAAATTCTTCAAAAACTGGAGTTCTATCCCAAGTGTGAATTTCACACATCCGTTGCCCCTTCGGTGGGTCCCCGCTCAGATCAGATTACTACAAACTAGTACCATCCTACCTACGACATTGTCTGACTACTCACTGATCTCTGTACAGGTCTAGTCCCCACTGTTAAATCTGATCACCAATAGAAATTGAATGAACAAATTCTTAGTGATCTAGAAACTATGAAAGTGGCTCACGTGGCCCTAAGATAATACTTAGAGGAGAATGACACACCTGATACTGATCCACTAACACTGTGGGAGGTATACAAATGTGTCCTATGATGTCACTTCATTTAAGTTTGCACACATGGTAAGAAATGTTTACGACAACAGACGACTGAGTTGCCCTTAGAGGTAGCCACACTCAAACGCTCACATAAGGAAAAACAGTCGGAAGACACATACAAGGACCGTCTGGTGGCGCACTGGGCCCTCCGGCAGTTACTGTCCCAGAAACGAATCCATACGGCGCGTAGATCACATGGATATTTCTACAAACACTCCAAAAACTGTGGTCGCCTCTTAGCAAGGATGCTCCAAAACAAGAGGCGTATGTGCCATATAGTGAAGGTCAAAACCAAAAGTGACTCTGTCACACGACTGCCAGACAAAATTGTATGCAAATTTAACTTATTGTACTCGGATCTCTATAATTTGCAAACAAACACTGGATCGGCAGGCATTCCGTCCCATTTGCAGCTTATCAAGGACTACCTGGCACAGCATACGGCAAAATCGATGTCCCTGGAAACAGCAGATGAACTGGAGGAGCCAATAACGTTAGAAGAACTCCAAGTGGCTCTCAAAATCTCTAAACTGAACAAAGCCCTGGGCTCTCCTTTATACAGACATACTATCACTCAACATACCTAATGTGCACAGTTGATTGGCATCCAGTGGACTCTCAGAAAAAAGGGCATTGTGGAATATGTTGGAGTTATAGAAATACTTCTAGTAATAATAATACTTTTCTCCAATTGTATGTTCTTGTGACCCTGGAAGGTTCTCAGCTTGTTGTAATTCTGATGCCAACTCTACAAGTCCTTTTGAGATCAGTGTTCATAAAATCTAGGATATACTCCAGGCTGTATTTTAAAACTTAAGCAAATGATCACAATCTTTTAGAAAAACATTCCAAATGATTTATCTACATAAGTGATCATCAAAGTCTATCGTAAAGTTTGTAGCTATATAAAGGATTTTCTAATAAATTGTGATCATTTGAAAAGTGTATCAAAAATAATGAAAGGCATGTATTTGATATTCTTTATTTGTGGTAGCATTGTTTTACATGTTTTCTAAAAAAAAAAAAAAAAACAAGCACATAAAAAGGAAAGATTTTTAAAGGTGTTTTCTCAGAAAATGACCTTGTAAATGTCTGAAGAGGCCTTTGGAAAGTACCTGATGTACACCGCTATCTAGTGTAAATAATAATATTCACTGGTTTAATGATAAGCAATAATTGTAAGTACATGTTTTTTGTAAATCGTTAATCTGTAGAGAGGAGAGCAGATGTGCAGAGGGAGATCTTCATAGTGAGGTATAGTTTCTTCAATTAAAACCATCCAGGCCTATAGCACCTTAGCTTACTGAAAAGCTTTATGTGTGAAAAGTGTGTTCTCTTTATTTCATTTTGCAAAAAGTGCAGATTTCAATAGAAATTGACACTTTTTTTAAAAATTATACTGGTTACACCCCATTGGCATTCAAACTAACAACATCTCCTGTTACTTCCTCGTTTCGTTAGCTCAGTGGAGCTAAACTCCAGAGAACCTACCTTGCAAAAACTTCTTATTAGGAAGTCTGTGATTGGACAGCCAAAGAAAGTCTTGGCGAGAAGGATTGCAGGTTTTGCAAGCTGTTTTTAGATATACCTCATTGACAAAAAAAATACACAATTAAATGCATGCTAGTTTTCATTTGGTGTGTATCAACTAAACATTGCTTTTATTTTTTTATTTTATTTTTATTTGGGTAATGGAGTGTCCCTTTAAAATAATCCAATGGTACTCACAATTTTTTTTTATTTTTTTTTATTTTTAAACAGCCCATGCACACCATGAAAATTAATTTAACCCTCACATTGCTGTGTTGAATGTAAGGAATTCTGCACATGTGCTTGTACTGTATTTTTCTGCAGATGCACAAGTGGGGTGGTGATACCCTTGATATTACTCAATGGTAATTTTGACATTAAGCCTAAACGAAGCATATCGCTAGAATTTGAGCTTTTCCTGACTGTTGATTAGCACATTAGGTGGTGACTAGTGATGATTATACAATATAGCTGTAGGTTAAGGATATGTAAAGTGTTTACACTACGCTCGTTGTTGTAACAAACATATTTTGCATATTTTTTTTCACAGAACTAATTGAATCTACTGATAAACTGTTTGATATGGAAGAAGAGTTTGAGATCCTGACTGTGTGAATGGTCTCTTATTTTGTGCTGTGATGTGGGACAATACCTAAGCAAGCTTTGATAACCAGAAAGTGCCTCAAACACAAAAGGAACAGCGCACTAAAACAGAATAACAGAATAAAGTGGGCTTTGGACCGGATTTCCAGGAATGGGTTGTAAATACCATAGTTGAGACTTAACTTCCTATTTAGTGTGTGTTCCTTTCTCTTTAAAGACCACACACAGTACAAAATGTTTACAGTTAAACTCCTCGCATCCTGGTAAGGTTAACCAAGATCGTTCTGAAGAAATGTGTATTACATAAATTAAGGAATGAAGACTACAGGTCAATGCGCTCAGCAAACAGGGGACTATTCATGCAGTACATAGTAGCAGAAAAAGTAACTGTTTTCTTATTGCAATACTTTAAAACAAACATATATATTAATTTATTTTCTTTGTAATACTTTTACTGCTGGGAATATTAGACATACTTTCACTCTATCAAATATATGACTACAGTATGCAATTTTGAGCAGTAGGCCACTATATAAAAAAAATCTAATTAAATCCATTAATTTGAGCAGTAATTGTTTGAAAACACACAATGTGACTTGGAAGTAAATACAGGCATTACAGTGCAAGGTAACACAAATGATGATACGAGGACCGAATTTGATGAGGATCTTGTCACATGTAAGTATAGTTTAAAAAAATTTATAAAAAAAAAAAAAATATATATATATATATATATATATATATATATATATATATATATTTTTTTTTTAATTCTAATATTCTGGCAAGAAAAATGCAGATTTTCTCTGAAATGCCACTATAGTCACAGTTTGCCTATTTTAGTCTGTTGGCAAATTCAGTTTTTATTTCACAACAGTTCGTTGTTAAGTGAATGAATGGTTTAGAATCTAAAATAATAAAACAATTTGTCACACTCCTGTAACATTTTTAACTATTCTTTGCATACTTACACAGGTATTTTTTCAAGCAGTGATTTTTTTTATCACTCTCTAGCATGAAAACCAGGTGGTAAATAGCATTTACCAGTCCCTGTCAGTCTCTGGTGTAGTTGTTAACATTTTTTGGCAGTTGCTACTTACCAGTTGCTTAACATTTTTTAATTTTGCATCATGAAAACAGCCAGTAGTTGATGTCTTAGTGATGAGTAACTTGTTGAATTTGTGGATGGTTCCCTACAGTTCTTCATCAGCTGTTCACAATCAAATTAACCTTTAAAGTTATAAAATGATATAAGAAATATATAACAAGTACTAAGTGTGAGTGAAAATATAATAATATATATGCAAATAAAAAGATCTACAGAAATGCAGTATGAATAAATAGTGTTTTTAAAGAAACGATGAGCAACAGAAAATATTCAGTCAAGCAATGAGTTTCAAATTGGCCTTCTCATCCCTTACTAATTCTCACTACTTTTCCACGGGAATGTTTTCTCCAATGCGACACAGACTACAACCATTTTTTGTAGAATTTGTTTTCATGGTTGAATTGTGTACTTTGGCATCACATGACTCTGAGAAAGACTGAGGGACAATAGGTAGTATTTGGCAAAGTACAGTTACGTACAATGCTCAGTCTATGGATCTTCTACTTTGTATTTTTATTTGTTACTGACTTGCCCAGTTTCTTCAGATTTTATAAAGAGGTCCATTTTAAGGTAAGGGTCAAACAATATATTCGCTGCTTTTATAAAATACATTTCTTTTTTGTTAGTTTTTATGCAAATGTTTCTGTGTGTTTACCGTAATGTTTTACTTTTACTTTTTTTATTTTTCTGGTCCACAACACTGGTCCAATTTAATCAATATAATTTAAATTTGAGTGGCCTACAATTTTTACACAGTGCTGCAAATGTAACCTACACGTTGATGGCAGATAAAAGCCCAGTGGCCCATCTAGTATGCACATATGCACTCTTCAGGAGAGACATGTTTAATGTGTCTTACCCTCTCTTTCAATTAAATGCTTGTCACTCGTTCTATGTTTTATATGAATGTGGCAATTTTACATAAATGGTTGATAAGTATTGTTCTTTTTAATGTGGCACCAATTTCCCAGTGCGGCAGCCCTGGCAATATATATATATATATATTTGTTCATTATGCTTCTTTTTTTCCATGACAAACATTTAAAACACACAATTATGTGTTGCCTGATCACGGGGACAGAAGTATAGGCCAGTTTCTTATGTGTTTTTTTTTTTCACTAACTGCTAAAGTGGGTAGATGGAGCGTGTGTGTGTATGTATGTGTGTGTGTGTGTATGTGTGTATATATATATATATATATATATATATATATATATATAATATATAAAATATATGGCTTAATCTTGGAGCTGACTCTTCAACTGGAAAGTCAACTGAGGACTTTAACTCCATTCATGAGTTTTAAGAAGTTCACGCACTGCACTATGCATTGATTTGGAGGTAGCGCCCAGGTACATATTTATGAATACGTGCAAAGTATAGAAGATAGAAAACTAGCTATTATTTAAAGTGGTTCTGTCACCAAACTGTACATTTTGAGTATTTTAGACAAAGCGGGGACTTTTTTGTCTCCTAGTAAAGCCTTTGATTGATAAGACAACAAAATGCAGAGCTTCCACAATAAAGCATTATCAAATTCCACAGCTGTCATTCGATTCAGCCATGTTCGCAGATTGAGAGACTTGGTCTAGGGAAGATCTCGGGAACTTGCAGGAATCCCCGTAGACATCAGTGCTGTATAGCACTGACACTGCTCCTGACAGATTGGATACCAGGACCTGAAGGACAGAGAGGTCTGTGCCTACGGGGCAAAATATTTAGGCATGTATATCTAGGTTCTACTAAGCAGGGATGTCTCCTCCAGGACAAAATATGTAAAGACCCCCAAAGATGACAGGCACTTTTCGCCTTCCGTAGGCAATATGTGTAAATATTGCTTAAAGGACCACTATAGTCACCCAGACCACTTCACTTCAGCTCAATGAAGTGGTCTGGGTGTCAGGTCCCTCAGGTTTTAACCCTTCAGATGTAAACATAGCAGTTTCAGAGAAACTGCTATGTTTACATTAGGGGTTAATCCAACCTCTAGTGGCCGTCTTCCTGACAGCCGCTAGGGGCGCATCTGCTACACTGGATGCGAAATTCACATCCAGCATGCAGAACGTCGATAGGAAAGCATTGAGAAAGTACGTTTACGTAAACTATAACCAATTCCAAGTGTAAAAGACTTAAAAGTAGGTTTTTAGTCAATTTGGCAACTTTATGAATTCAAAATAAACAGGAGTACTTATAGGACCACCCCAGGCCGTTATGGAGCCTTGAAGGTTTTTGTACAGTCTTGTCTTATGAGGTTCAACTATTTTTGAACAGTATAACCTCAAAGCTCCCAACCTATCACCAGCACCCAAGGAAAATGTTTCCGCATTAGGACCTGAGTCAGAGGAGGAGGTAGATAGGTCGATCAGAAAGACACTGTGGAGAATTTGGGGAGTTAAACCGTTCAAAAATCGTTTAACCAGACAAAGTAATACACTTCCAGACTCCACAATGACTTTATTGAGCTTAAGTCGTTATGGGTCTTGGAGTGGCCCTTTAAACAGTTTTTTTTTTTTTTTTTTATGTCTGCATAATATAAGAACTTGCATGTTTGTATTTGTGTTCCTTTAATAACATGAACATTGTCATCTGTCACGATAACTTCTAAATCTGTCCGGTGTGTGAAATTAAACTCCGTTTATGAAAATAACAGTTTTTCGTCTGCAGAGTTCCTATAGAATCCATACTTATACCTTTTTTTTTTTTTTTTTTTTTTTTTTTTTTTTTTTAAGCGTGATTTTATGTACTGATGCACAGCCCCTGGTAATTACAAGGCATTGACAAGGTTATGAATTGAGTGTCGTGTGATTTTAATTTTTACTTCTTCCAGGTATACAGATGTTATCTAACATATTCGTAATGTGTTCTGTTTAATATTGTATCTATTTTAATGTTCTTGCTGAACTCTTTTATATATTTCATGATTCAGTAATTTGCATTAAAAGAAAACTTGAAATCAAAATGTTTTATTTCTCAGCTTTTTTTTTTGTCTATCACACTTCAAATGTTGATCTTGATATACTGCAAGCTTTGAAAGAACTCTGTGACTTCTATGTAAATCAGATAAGCACATTAAGCAACTGCCAATGATGCAGTTAGTCTTGAGATTAAACTGAGAGGCCCGTTGTAAAATACATTTTGGGGATCCTGCTACATAGATCTTAATTGCATTCCAACAGGATTCCACAGAGGGATGATGGTCCATGAGCCAAGCCATATTCAACCAGTGTGAATTAACACAAGAACTTGGTCTCTTTCAGATTTCACCTTCTCCCTTGGAGAATAATAGCTACAATAGTGATTAAAGAAACAATCTAGACTCCTAAAACATTTCAGCTTGTTATAGTGTGACAAAGCCTGTGGTTGGCTAATTCCCCAGAACAGACAATGTTTGTGTTGGGAAGGGGGTAGGGGTGCATTTTTCTTTCTATATACCCCCAAAGAAAACATGCAGAAACAAATGCAAGTTTCTTTGGGTTAAATGTACTAAACAGAGGGGGAGGGGGAAAAAAAATGTAAATGCAATGTTCAATAAAAGGCATTTATGGATAATGTTGGCAAGGAAACAGGAGATGCGTTTGTGCCACCAGCGTTAATTGGAAACTTTGCAGAGGCAGAACTGCCTACATTTATTGGCTTTTTATTGACCAGGCAAGGGTTTGGGTTGATTGCAGCAGTGCGAGATTACCCATAATGCAACCTAAGGCTATGGCACAGTGTGTGAGGGTCCCGAGATGGGTAGGTAAGGGGAGGTTATCTGGCTTAGGTCTCTTGCTTTCACCTTGAATGACAGTAGTAATTAATACAATTCGGGGATGCAGGTGAGGAAGGAAGGAAGATAGGTTTTAAAAATTATTTGTGATATTGCATAATTGATGATAGATGACAAAACACATTAATATTTAAACTTAAAGGACAACTAAATGCACCCAGAACAGTTAATCTCAATAAAGGGTCTCGGTACAGAGGTATTATAGTTTTAGCCCTATGTAATGTAACTGATGTTTAGTCAAAATGGCAATGTTGTCATTGCAGCTCTTGGAGCACTGTCTTCCTGACAGCCACTAAATGCATTTCCTCTAAACTCCTAAAAGAGAGCATTCGATTGGAGGAGCAAGGCATTGGGAGAGTATATGCTGCTCATCCCTGAAGCTCCTCTAAAAGGTGCATTGGATTGGGTGAGAAGGCGAGGAAGCATAGTCTCCTGTTTCAGGAGGAGAAGCCGGCAGCTGCTGGAAAAAAATGTATGTTTAAAGCCTTTTTTCCGTTAACTTAATCTAAATAGTAAGGAGACTCGATAGTATTAGTAATACTTACTTGTATTTTTAACTCTATAGTGTTTCTTGAAATGAAGATGCTTTTCTTAAATTCCTGGACTTTGTCTATTTGAATGACAAGTAATGGCATTAATTCTTTTTTTATGTTCTATTATTTTCCAATGAGTACATAGGCCACATATCCTTTTAGTAGAATAGGTAGTTTTGGGGAAAATGAGAAGTAAAAGTTCATCTTGTTCAAGAACATATGCAGCTGACATTCGTATAAATCTATGGATTGGATTATTGATTTATTTAGCAGATGAGCATAGAAGCGCAAAACAGACAAGCCTTCTGTGGTGTAGTTTATTTATTAGATCTGAAGTTCAAATATACAGATAATCATAAAATATTAAAAGAAACGAGACAAAAATATTGTCCATAAAAAAAAAAAATTATATATATATATAGTGTGGATAAGGACTAGCGCTTATTTCCAAAAAGATTGTTTTTGTACCAACATATGTGAGATATTCTAATATAATGAGCTGCTATACATTCGTGCAATTCCTTACTATATCACAAACATAGTATACAGACAAAAAAAGAAAAGAATGTAGCGCTTATACAGTAAATGAATTATCACCTTTGTTTCAGTTAGGAGGAAAACTCTCACTTTAGAGTCAAACAGGATAAGGACTCCCCCTTTAGTGTCACATAAACCGATATCTACAAAAAATTATTCGACATAGTGTAGATGGTATATAACAAGACAGTGTATAAATTAAGTGTATGTACACTCACAAACATAGAGCTACAGACCCAGCTATGGTTTGAATCGTTTCTGAGCTCACCGATCCGGTTGAAGAAGCCATGCTGCAAGTGCGAAACGTGTCCCGGTGTTTTTGGACATTGTTGCCATTTTATTTTATTTTATGGTATTGCAATAAATTTATTTGATTTTATTATTTTATCCTGGTTCCAGAATTCATCTTTTACAGATGGGAGTGCAGTCCCTAATCTGCACAGTGCTTATATATTGAGTCATTTTCTTTGACTCCTGGCTTGTAAGTACCCATTTGGGATTTTCTGTTTTGCCTTCTAATATCTCCAGCAATACAGCGCAATTTTCTGTGCCTTTATTCCCCCTCCAGCACAAGATATATATCAGTAGAGGCAGGTCACCTAAACGTACCTAGAAACTATTCAAACCAGAGTTGGGTCTATAGCTCTACGTTTGTGAGTGTAGATACACTTAATTTATACACTCTGTCTTGTTATATACCATCTACACTATGTGTGATTATTTTTTGTAGATCTGTTTATGTGACACTAAAGGGGTAGTGCTTATCCTGTTTGACTCTTAAGTGAGAGTTTTCCTACTAACTGAAACAAATGTGATAATTAATTTACTGTATAAGCGCTACATTCTTTTCTTTTTTGTCTGTAAAAAATAATATATATGTAGTAAAAACCTCTTAAGAGTTCAGCTCTATGTAAACAGTCAAGGGATTAATAAAATAAATATACAATCACATATATTGACATCCACACTCCTTCTAAATCTGCCCCCTGATGTAGTGTACTCACAAACATTTGTGGGTGGGAGATAGTGGTCAATAAAGATGCTGATGTACACTTCAGTAATTTATTCCAGGTCCAAAAGTGTAGCCCTCCATGGATTGGTCCTGCTGGTTGTGTGCCTCACCTTAACGGGAACTGATGCTTTTCATGGAATCTCACATGGGAAAGAAAGGAAAATAATTCAGCGATCGTTTGCTCCTATGTGCTTCTTGAGTATGCAACTTCTTCGTCAAGGAGCACGAACAATCACCATTTTTGCCATTTGTGTATGTTTATATACCTATATGTGCAAAGAGGGTTCTAATACATCAAATATAATGTGTCCCCAAAATAAAACTCTTAGTAGTAAGCCCACCTGACCTCCCTAAATATAGTAAAATGTTACCTTTATTCCAGTCTGCAGGTGCTGGCTCTGCCCCGATTCACCTCCTTGGCTGGTTGAGATTGTCAATTCTGATGATATCAGTCAAGGAGGCAGGATGGGGAGCAGAGCCAAGCAACATCCTGGCCAATCAGTAGAGATGAATTGAATCAATGTATCTCTATGAGGAAAGTTCAGTGTCTCCATGTAGAGCAGGAGTTCTCAACCCAGTCCTCGGGACCCCCTACCAGTCCAGGATTTGGGGATTACCTGGGTGTGTCTAAGGTGTTTAGAAAAAGGAAAAAAAAAACACCTTTAACACCTTAGACACACCCAGGTAATCCCTAAACCCTGGACTGGTAGGGGGTCCTGAGGACTAACATTGAGAACCCCTGCTGTAGAGGGTGGAGACACTGAATGTCAGTACTGTCCTAGGAAGCACATCTAGTAGCCATCTGAGGAGTGGTCACTGGAGGTGTCCCTAGGCCATAATGTAATGTAAACATTGCCTTTTCTCTGAAAAGACAGTGTTTACTGCAAAAAGCCTGCAGGCAATGATTATACTCACCAGAACAAATACAATAAGCTGTAGTTCTGATGACTATAGTTTCCCTTTAATTGTAAAATATATATATTCTCTCTCTCTCCCTAAAGCTTACAAAAGTCAAGGCAAAAATTAGCTAATGCTTTTAAGTATTGCAAGATATATATATATATATATATACACACACAGACATTACTAAAATTAAATCACACAAAATCTCAATTAGTAAATGTCAAATATTGCCAATAATTGTGGTATTTATCCGTGCTTTCTTCTGTAGACTGTAATGCTTTTACGGGATATTTAGAAACCTATCATAAAAGCTAAAGAGAGAACAAGGGTGCAGCTTTATAGTTCAAATAACTTCAATATTCACATCATAGAGACAGGACTATTTACAGTGTTTTTCATTTATAATGAAATTTATTGTCCGTAAAACATATTTTTACTCAAAATTCCTTAATTTTCACATTTTTACATAATGACCATATAAATAAACTGAATATCAAAGCAATAGGAGAAGTATAATAACCTGAGCGTTGCATTTCAGATGCCCTGATTACAAAATAAACCAGATATAAGGATTTAAATATTCCAGCTGTCCTTCTTCACGACCTTTCCTGCTTTACCATTCTTTTTAAAATTATAATTCTATTGTTCGTCTTTTCAATGAACAACTATATTGTTTTATATCTTTTATGCAGCCTACTGGTGGCCACAAGGGGGCATTAAACTCAGATTAGTGGTTCTGTGCTTCTTATACCATCCATTTCATCTCAGGTATCCCATTTAAATGATCTTAAGCAAGTACTGAAATAGAGGATTTTATAATTATTGGTCTAAATGTTAAAGCCAGGCATACAAGAGGCTTGGAAATTACTCTTCTCCCCATACTGTGGAATGGAACATTCTGTTGTCATGGTTATGACAGCATTCCATTGTCACTATACAGATACACAGACAGAGTGCATCCTACTACAATGACTGTATATCTTCTTCTAGTTAATTCTTCTAGGGAAAACGAGAGGCATTTCTAGCGTTTCTCTAGTGTGTTAGAGGATTTGGCTTCATTCAGGGCCATTGGCTCATTGATTAGCTTGTGATTAGCAATAATATTAAGTTCTGGTACGTCGTAAAAGTATTTTCACCTTTCAAGAGGTAAGCTACAGTAATGGTTTATTCACTAAATGCTAAAATAATTAGGAAGCTGCCATGTTAACAAATAAGAAAAACTAAAAATTAGGACCCATTTCGTAAAAAAAACTAAATCACAAAATGTTAAGTGAATAGTTAATTTTATAATAACAATCATGCTTTTATTCTCCAATATTTCCATGATCTAATGATATAGGTACGCACACAACATTGTATAAAGTTTACATTTACAATAATCATTTAATTAGGACATTTATTCATAAAGAAATCTAGATCATAAATGAACTTGGATTAGGAATGTACAGAGTCTGACAATTTTCTCGAGCGTTATATCCAATGACTTAAATTAATATAAACGTGCTGGATACAAATCATTACAGGGAGCAATGAATTCAATGTGATCTTCTTAGCCCCTTAAGGACCAAACTTCTGGAATAAAAGGGAATCATGACATGTCACACATGTCATGTGTCCTTAAGGGGTTAAGGTAATCAATAACAGAACAAGCACTATCCAGAATATTATATGTACCTCAGTGCTACCATTTTAATGAATGACCACAAAAGTAGTGTTTTGGGTATATTCACCCTTTCTCAGTGTGCAGTGCCCTTGATATTACCTTAAAGGGACACTATTGGCACTCAGACCACTTCAGCTGATTGAAGTAGTCTGGGTGCAGTGCCCCAGGTCCCGTAACCTTGCAAAGGTAATTATTGCAGTTTTTAATAAACTGCAATAATTACCCTTGAGAGTTAACTCTACCTTTACTTGAGGGACTTCCGGTCGTTAGGCAACTTTTGGCCGCCTAATTGACACAGGATGATATATAGCCTCTAATAATTTATTTTAATTATAATAGCCTTCCTTGCAATATGTATTAAGTTTAATTGTCTTTACTATATTCTACTTTTTTCCTTTCTTTTATTAGGTGTTTAAACGGCAAAGAATGGAGGGAGCGTTTCTTAATGACTCTGTCCCACTCTTCATTGGTGAAGATGGGCAATATGTCGATGTGCAATCTGTCATCGATGCTGCAGTAAGCCAGGGCATCTACTTTCAGTATTACGAGGCATCAAATGAGGACTGTGAATTTTTTACATTCGTTGGTGGAAAGAAAAAGAGAAAGTGCAGCCCTTACACCTCTCGAACCAAGAGAACTTCAACCAAAAAAGTAAACATCAGACTATTTGGCAATTATTCTATTCTGCCAAGGCGTTCACAGAGAATCCAAAATGCCAAACAAAAGCGCTCCACCACTAAATAATTTGGATGTGAACTGTAATTAACTTATTTGATTTGTTTGCATTAAATAAATTCTTTCATATTTTAACAGAAGGTGAAAGACTTATTTGCAAAGTACTTCACTATATACATATATCTGTAGGGTTCGTGTGTCAAAGAGTCAAATATAAGGCATGCACTTCAGTTTTTTCACATTGAAATTGGCCAGATTGGTTACGTTGCCTTTGAGACCGTATGGTGTCCCAGGAATGAGAATTACCCCCGTGATAGCATACCATTTGGGAAAGTAGACAACCCAAGGTATTACAAATGGGGTATGTTTAGTCTTTTTTAGAAGCCACTTAGTCACAAACACTGGCCAAAGATAGACTTCACATTTTTTGTGTATGAAAAATGCAAAAAACGAATCTGAACACTAATTCTCATTCTTGGGCTGCCATACAGTCTCAAAGGCAACATAACCAATCTGGCAAATTTCAATGTGAAAAAAATGAATTTCAAGCTTTATATTTAACTCTATAACTGTTGAAAACACCATAAAACCTGGAAAAAGAAAAGAGAATGAGCCCAATCAAGAGGAACACTCGTAATGGGGGTAACCCCGAGTTTAAATAAATTGAAACAAAGAAAAATAGTGTACCTACGTGGGAACTAGGAGAATAGTATGGTATATATAAGGTAAAGTATAATTCAATGGGTAACCAGTGCACGGTCAGAAACAATAATGAACCTTAATACCAGAAAATAATAATAATATTTTTTTTTTAATTAGGTTAATAATTAAGAACTAACAATAAGCTCCAAATACTGCCGCAAAAGAAAAAGTGCTACCACCAGTGTTAGCAAAATATAGTCAGCAGCTAAATACCGCTGCTACACACTAGGTGGTGCCATACACTAAAGGTAGAAAGTAAATCTATCCCCATAACTAGCTTGGGACTCATAGGGTGTAGCAAGATCTAAAGTGTATTCTATTATGGGTTAACACATCTGCTTACCGTTAATATACACAGGTCACTGGTACACTAAATAGCCAAAATAATAAGGTGCTAAATGCTATATAGGTAAAACTGTTATTAAGCTCAACTAAATATCGTGCTAAATGTCAAATTAAGTGTAAGCCCAGCAACCTATAACAATTTGCTGTAATGGGGAAATAATCCTGCTACAGAGATACTTATAGCAAAATGGGAAAGTTGTCTGTATGAAATAGATTAGATAGTGAATTCGGCTATATGGCTGAGGGAGATAGGAGTGATCATCACTTTCTAGAAATAACCCTCTTCTGCCTTAATGGGCTCTAAGCTGGGCCGCCGACCTGCAGGGGGCACCTACCGGAAGGTTTCCTGGCGGCCTGCCCTGCTGCTGTCTGGGGCTCATGTGCTGGGCGAGCCGTTCCTTAGCCATCCCCCAGCGCAGCCATTCAGCTGCTGGGCTCCCTCTTCAGCCGATTACCTGCTCAGCGAGCGGGATTTACTGTAACCCCAGCACCCGAGCAGAGCACTCTGCTTGCTGCAGGCAGGGAAAGCCCCTTCTGCACCAGGAGGCCGGGATGCTTGACAGAGGGGGAAGCTATAGTGCCAGGAAAACTAGTTTAATGTCTATTCAGTGTGTCTCTTTCCCATTATGTCTCTTTTGAGATTTTATTACGTTCTATTTTATCTCCTGATTAGCTTGGACCTCATATATCCCATGAGTGTACTATATGCTATTGGCCACCCATGTTTACCTTGGACCCAGGGCTGGCCCGTCCATAGGCCCCGGTGGAGCCATGGCTCCATGCGGCACTTTGACAGGAGCGGCATTTTGCAGGGGTGCCGCTAAAGCGGCGCAGGTGCCACCTCAATTATTCCCTACCTTCCCATGTTTCCCCCCGTCCAGTGGGTAATTAACCCACAGCTTGCGTTTCACTTAGATCAAGAGGGCACCCTCAGCACCTTTACTGGCTGCCACGTGAACACAAATGCCGGAGGGGAGGGAGCACGAGGCGCACTGCCATTTGAAGCAGTAATTACTACAGCCTGCCCGGCCTCGAGACAGAGTGTGGACAGACGGTTCATGACTTCTGAAGATCAGGGTACTGTGAGGGCACGGCATCCAGGAGCTGCCGCCCCCTGCCCTATGTCTAGAAGAGATACTATTCTATGTGTAATGGGCTGCTTGGATTTCCCCCAACCCCAACCTATGTGTAAGGGAGGGCTGCTTGCTGTAAATGTGTTTGTGTATGTATATATTAGGCAGTGTATGTGTGTATTAGGCAGGGTCTGTGTCCATGTATTAGGCAGGGTGTGTGTTTATTAGGCATTGTATGTGTCCGTGACAGTGTGCATAAAGCATTAGGCAGTGTGTGTATAAAGCAGTCTGTATGTGTGATGGATGTATTAGGCAGTGTCTATGTGTGTGTGTACCTATGTGTTAGAAGGTTTGTGTGTGCATGTATGAGCAAATGTGTTTGATGACTATGTGTTAGTCAGTGTGTATGTATGTATTTATTAGGAAGTTTGTGTATGTGTGTGTGTGTGTGTGTATGATTAGCAGTTTATGTTAATGTGTGTATATATTATTTTCTGAAATTTGGGGCTGTTGCATTCCAGAGAGCAGCAGGCTTGATATCGTGGTCACACTGGCGTTGCCCCAAAACCTCTCTCACAGCCAGGTCTGGCAGCAGCTGGTACTCACCGGGATGGTCCTGGGCAGCCTGAGACTCAGGTAACAGTGGTGTTATTGGGGACAGTCAGGGCTAACACTACCACAAGGCAATACAGGTGGCAGCCATAGGGCACCAAGGGGGGCAATATCTGGGCTCCGGGTAACTGGCAGGAGGAGAGCGCACAGTGCTCTGCCTCCTGTCGGTCACTTCATGTAGTGTGGCTAAGTGGACCGTGCAGCACTAGAGGATATTTATCTTCTACCTGGTCTGATAGGAAGTGCTCAGTGAGAGAACTGAAAAGCTTCCTGTCTGTCTGGGCAGAAGAAGCAGAAGCACCTCTACCGCGGTCCACTCGGCCACGCAACATGAAGGAAGGTAAGTAGGGGGGAAAATGGAAAGAGAGGAAGGCATATAAAAGGGCCTAACATAATGGATGTGGGCATAGTTTTGGTATGGGGGGCACTAAGGGGGGCAACAAACTATTATGTTATTAGCTTGTCTAATGTTTTATTCACAATTGTTCATGCCTCAGTTATTCTATATTGTCAGGACTGTTGACTATCCTGTTATTAGTTTTTTGGATGTTTGCCTATGATGTTCCTTCACCTCCCCCTCTTATTACCTTCAATGTCCGCTGCATAAACATCTATGCCTGATACCCTTCACAATCAACTCAGTGAAGACTGCATTTACCATCCTGCAGAAACACCCATCACTCTCAGGCCTCACTTCACAATCAACTCAGTGAAGACTGCATTTACCATCCTGCAGAAACACCCATCACTCTCAGGCCTCACTTCACAATCAACTCAGTGAAGACTGCATTTACCATCCTGCAGAAACACCCATCACTCTCAGGCCTCACTTCACAATCAACTCAGTGAAGACTGCATTTACCATCCTGCAGAAACACCCATCACTCTCAGGCCTCACTTCACAATCAACTCAGTGAAGACTGCATTTTTTTTCTTCCCACTTCCCTCCCACCCTCCCCTCCTCTCGCCCACCCAGGCTCCCCTTAAATATATAGCATGCTCCTCCAGCTGTTCGAGATTCTCACCCAATTACCTGTTCATTCCCCTAACATCTTACCAATAGCTGCTTCTCTGTTAACTCTTTCAGCCATCACCTCCAAACTTCCCCTGCTACCTTTTGTCTCAAATCCCCCTGGTATCCTTTAGATTGTAAGCTCAAAGGCCATCTAGCTAAGCACTTTGTATAAAAGAGCTCCAATGGCTAGATATCAGCTTACGGGCAGGGCTCTCTTACCTTTTGTATTTGTTTGTGTATATTGTACGTTTCTCAACTAATTGTAGAGCGCTGCGGAATCTGTGTGCGCTTTATAAATTGCAATAATAAATAAATTAATTAAAAAATAGTGGATTGTGGAGGGTCCTGGTGCTTCCTATGCTCAGTGCAGAACCAGATTTTAAATGCATTTTACCAGATTACGCACTCTAGTCCATGATCTTCCCTGCTTCACTCCCTACACAGAAGCAAGGAGGACCACTGTCAGTTTTTAATCACTGACAGATCCAATGTGCATGTATATTGTTGACGAATCCAGCTATAGATATATTTCCTTTCAAAATGTGATGATGGGATTATTATATTAAAAAAAAATTTGTACTTTCTTTTATTTCAGCTAGCAAGTGACATAGAAACTCAGAATGTGGTGGCAGATAGGATCCATTTGGCCCATGTAGTCTTCCCAATATTCTAAATACTTTTATTAGTCCCTGGCCATATCTTATATCTAGGATAGCTTTATGCCTATCCCACGCATGCTTAAACCCATTCACTGTGTTAACCTCTATCACTTCAGCTGGAAGGCTATTCCATGCATTCACCACTCTCTCAGTAATGTAATACTTACTGATATTATTTTTAAACCTTTGCCCCTCTAATTTAAGACTATGTCCTCTTGTGATAATTGTTCTTCTTTGAAATATACTCTCCTCCTTTACTGTGTTGATTCCCTTTATGTATTTAAATGTTTCTATCATATCCCCCCCTCTCGTCTTTCCTCCAAGCTATACATGTCAAGGTCCTTTAACCTTTCCTTGTAAGTTTTACCCTGCAATCCCTTTACAAGTGTAGTAGCCCTTCTGTGAACTCTCTCAAAAGTATTAATATCCTTCTCCAATACTGCATACAATACCCCAAGTGAGGTCACACCAGTGTTCTGTACAATGGCATGAGCACGTCCCTCTTTCTACTGCTAATACCTCTCCCTATACAACCAAGCATTCTGCTAACATTACCTGCTGCTCTGTTACATTGTCTGCCTATGTTTAAGTAATCAGAAATAATCACCCCTAAATCCCTTTCCACAGATGTTAAGGTCTGTACTCTGCCCTTGGGTTTTTACGTTCAAGATCTTGCACTTATCCACATTAAATGTCATTTGTCAGAGCTCTGACCATTTTTCTAGTTTACCTAAATCATTTGTGATTTGGCTTATCCCTCCTGGAACATCAACTCTGGCACATATCTTACTAATCAGCAAAAGTATATACCTTACATTTAAGACCTTCTGGAATATCACTAATAAAAAATGTCACTCAGCCATTGCCTTACATATTCAACAATATTGGAATCCAAACTTAAAGATTGCAGTTTACGGATAAGCCTTCTATGTGCAACTGTGTCAAAAGCCTTACTGAAATCTAGGTAAGCAATGTCTACTGCACCACCCTGATCGATTATTTTAGTTACCCAATCAAAAAAAATCAATAAGATTAGTTTGGCATGATCTTCCTGATCTTGAAATGGAATGGAGGAAGTAATTATTTCCAGCTCTACACAGCAGAGGGCAGGTAATATATGGAGGTGCAATATTTTATAGATGCTTCAGTATTGATATTCCATACTGTGTATATTTAACATGTTTTGGTCAAAAGAAAAAATAGTGCCTCGATAATGTCAACTCTCGGCCAAAGAGACTTTCTCTAAACCTGAGATAATGTGACCATAGCATTCCAAGAGAATTAAAGGGACACTCCAGGCACCCAGACTACTTCTGCCCATTGGAGTGGTCTGGGTGCCTCCAGCATCGCTGAAATCCCCATAGGAAAGCATTGAAAGCATTATTCAATGCTTTCCTATGGGGAGTTCTAATGCGCGTGCACGGCATTGCCGCGCATGTGCATTAGGTCTCCCCCACAGCCGGCCGCGCATGCGCAATAGGTCTCCCCCACTGGCTGACGTTGGCGGGGGAGGAGCGTAGGTAGAGCCTGACCCAGCACGGATGGACATCGACGCTGGATACAGGTAAGTCACTGAAGGGGTTTTAACCCCTTCAGCAACCTGGGTGGGGCGTGGGATGGAGAGGGCACATGCAGTGCCAAGAAAACAGTTTGTTTTCCTGGCACTGGAGAGTCCCCTTAAAGACAGCAAAAGTAAATACTCCAACATAAAATAATTCTGCAATATGACTGGATTTGTGAAACGGACACAGCATTGTTCATTAAAGTGTAAATTTTCATGAATTAAAAATTGAATTATAACATAGGGCCAACATAGCTGAACTAAGAAAAGTCAGCTGTTTTCAGTTTTGGCAGAACATCTACAATTCACTTTCAATTTCTTCTGAGCTACTTCCTCTGAGGATAGAGAGTTATGACCTGACTCCAAGGCATTTCTATCCATTTTTTTCCATTGCTGGCAGTCTCTGAAAAATTAGACAGTCAAGAGAGCTGCAAGAATCAAACTGTTATTTATATTTTAATACCCCTGTGCATTTCTAAATGTTTTTTTTACATACACTTCATTAGAAAAAAAACTTGATGAAAGGATTATTATACTTAAAAATTTGTTTAGAGGGGAAAGTTGTTTGTCAAATTTAGTAGTCCAAAAACTACTAGTGGAGTGTGAGCCAAACCATAGTGTACTAAGAGGTATAGGGCAATTCATTATGGTAAGAGGGTAAGAACAGGGAAGGGTAGTTTTAAGGGGGCAGCTCAGCTGAATATGATTGCGGAAAGGAATGCCCAACAAGGTCCACCTGGATGTAACTCTTGTTGGAAAAACTTGCATAAAAGGCCAGTGTGGCGCCATTAAAAATCAGTTCTGTTTAACCCTCAACACGTAGCCTTGTCTCATGCTTGTAGGGAACCTGCTTCACAATTAATCACTAGCTCTTGTAGCTCTACTACCTATTCGGATATTTGGTCGGCTGAGATGACATCTGGAGAATACTGCAGCACAGCTCCTTCCAAGGGAAAAGGACGTCCCTAGCGGCGTACTCCCCTTTGCTACTCAGGGTAGTTGTTACAAATGGTTTTTATACAACCACCTTAAATTTGTTTGGCAAAAACCAGAAGAACTGCATTCAAAGCCTCCTTGCCATGTAACCTCTAGATGTAGCACAAACAGCAAAAATACTTTGAATTTCACCTTTAAATGAAAAAAGGGGTGAAAAAGGAAACAAATGGGGTGGCAAAGGACACATTCTAATCCTGTGTCAATAAGTGCAGTATGCAACCAAATTATTTGTAATAGTATAGAATTGCAAATATGCAATTTGTCACGATTCTGTTTTCTTATCAGTTTGGTGCAGTACCTCACAATGTCACTACCTGTCTGTGGTGCTGCTGTTCCCAGCTGACCCAACCTTACAATTATCTCCACCATATTTAGTTAAGACATGCCTTTCGTCTTTGTCAGTTCATTAATAGTGTTTTAGTGATGATCCCTGTATCCTGTACTACCCTCAGTATTCCAGAGCTAGCTGCTTTCCTGTGCGAACCTTCGGTTTCCAGAGCAAGCTGCTTTCATCTGCAAACTCCCAGTGTTCCAGAGGCCCTGCTCTCTGTAACTAGGCAATATGAAATTAAGAAGAAACATATAGTGCAGACAGTATATAACATTACATGTATAGAGCAAAAAACTAAAAAAAAATTAAATACCTCTAAAAACATAAGAGTGGTTACAAAGCCACTTAACACTAGATTGACCCAGGAGCATCAGGCCCATAGTGTACGCTGGATCCAGATTCACATTACTCTCATCCACAGAGAAGAATGCTCCACTGGCCATCAAATAGAGGTAAATATTTATTTTGGCACTTATGCCATGAAGTAAAAACTAGGGAATTCAGATAGCAGGCTTTTACAACCCAAACCTAGTGAGTCCCAGTACTTTTCAGGTCTCTTTGTCTTGGCTTTAACAAGTTTTGAAGCTGCAGTAATTACCGATTGTCTCTTCGCTCCTGCCAGTCTGACATTACACACCATGCATTTTACCCCTCCTCATGAGGCTTCCTCCATCGTCTACCTACGTACTAAGTAGACATATGCATCTAGGCAGAGGTATTACTCGAAGGCAAAAAGTTAAGGGGCTTCAGCTGACGTGTAAATATTATGGCACTTCCCATATAAATTGACTGAAATCTCTCCTAAAACCAGGCCTATACTACACCCTAAGTCCAAGATTAAACCTTAACATGGATTATAAATCACATTACGATAGCAAATCTTTGAATGAATTCAGAGCGTTACCTATATTTATAGACTGCATATCTGCTATTTTTTGTAGCTATTTTCAGTTATGCCCCACTATCACAAATTATGTAATTGGTGGAGATATGTTTGTCAAAAAATAGCTTGGGACTCAAGGCTAACAAAATAGGACCAAAATTAGACCCTGGGCACTGGCCCCTATTAGCTGCCCCCTCTACCGTGCCCCCCAGCAGTGCCACTGCCTCTAAGCCCAGTTTTTAAAAACCCCTCTAATGGTATGTACAATAAAGTACTGATTTGATTCGGCAAGGATTAAATATAGCGCAAGATTGCTGGAAAATAAATTCATGGCCTGAAGGAACTTGAACAGAAGGTATTGTTAGCTTCTTTATTCACTAAGCAATACATAAATATCATCCATTTTCCTGCCTACTTAGGTAGTACCCATTTTAAGTAGAATTTGCTATGTGATTGGATGCCTGAAAAGACAGATAGATACTTAGTTAGTTAGTTTTATAAAAGTCCTACTCTGGTCAACTGTAGACTATTGTGAAAGCCAAAACAATAGACTGGTCTAACTTCTTTTTTTATTTATTTTTCTACTTCATATAGTGACTAAGTGCAGTGTTTTAAAAGAAAACCAACCCTCGGAATAATGTCTCTTTTCCAGTAGCCTGGATTTGTCGGGCATCTTATCTTTTTCACACCTTTGTTAGCACAGTAGCATGAGAAGTTTCAGCTCTGAAGGCTTTCTGCTTGCTGAGTCACACGGTTCCTGGTACAGACCATGTCCAAACATATTTGGATAACAATTAATACTGAGTTCCACTATATTACAGACTGACTCATTCTTGAAATTTCACTTCCTGTCAGTGCCAGTAGTATTTTGTAACGTAACGATGCAACAAAGTGAATTAAGTAGATTTCTGTATATATCTGCAAGCCTAAAAAATTATTTCTGCACAAAACTAAAATTCTTTCATTAACACAAATAATGGGAGTTAATTAACTTTTCTGCCATTATCTGCATTTTGTGATCTAATTTAATTTCAGTAAGCCAATGTAAACTAATCTTTCAAGATGTCAAGGAGTGGTCCTTTAATGAAGCCGTGTTGGTGTATAAATCATGCCCCTGCAGTCACACTGATCAACCCTCTGCCACTTAGGAGTAAAATCCCTTTGATTATGCAGCCCTAGTCACACCTCCCTGCATGTAACTTGCACAGCATTCCTAAACACTTCCTGTAAAGAGTCATCTAATGTTTACACTTCCTTTATTGCAAATTTTGGTTAATTTAGAATTTCTTATCTCCTGCTCTGTTAACAGCTTGGTGGACCCTGCAGGAGCCTCCTGTGTGCAATTAAAGTTCAATGTAAAGAGCAGGAGATAAAAACTTTCAAAAAAGTAAGTTACACCTATAAGAGATCAGAGATCTCCTTCACCAGTCCGCAGGCACTTTGCTGGCAGCCGGCACAGAGGGAAAGAGAACCCGAGAACTCAGCCTGCAGCTCCTCCGGGTACTCCTCTCGCGAGCACAGAGGATTGTCGCGGTTCCCGTGGCAACGCTCCGGATCTCGCGAGAGCGAAATCTAGCCCCGAAGGCTAGAGTTCACTCTAACCACTGGGACCACCAGGGATTCTCCACCGGACCACCAGGGATTGAGAAAAATCCCTCCTCCCCGTCAAAGGTAAGAAGGGAGGGGGGATTGAAAGAGTATTTATTTTAATTTTTTTTTTAAAACACATATATATACAGTTACAAGAAAAAGTATGTGAACCCTTTGGAATGATATGGATTTCTGCACAAATTGGCCATAAAATGTGATCTGATCATCATCTAAGTCACAACAATAGAAATTCACAGTCTGCTTAAACTAATAACACACAAAGAATGAAATGTTGCCATGTTTTTATTGAACACACCATGTAAACATTCACAGTGCAGGTGGAAAAAGTATGTGAACCCTTGGATTTAATAACTGGTTGAACCTCCTTTGGCAGCAATAAGTTCAACCAAACTTTTCCTGTAGTTGCAGATCAGATGTGCACAACGGTCAGGAGTAATTCTTGACCATTCCTCTTTACAGAACTGTTTCAGTTCAGCAATATTCTTGGGATGCCTGGTGTGAATCACTTTCTTGAGGTCATGCCACAGCATCTCAATTGGGTTGAGGTCAGGACTCTGACTCGGCCACTTCAGAAGGCGTATTTTCTTCTGTTTAAGCCATTCTGTTGTTGATTTACTTCTATGCTTTGGGTCATTGTCCTGTTGCAACACCCATCTTCTGTTGAGCTTCAGCTGGTAGACAGATTGCCTTAAGTTCTCCTGCAAAATGTCTTGATAAACTTGGGAATTAATTTTTCCTTCGATGATAGCAATCCGTTCAAGGCCTGACGCAGCAAAGCAGCCCCAAACCATGATGCCCCCACCACCATACTTCACAGTTAGGATGAAGTTTTGATGTTGGTGTGCTGTGCCTTTTTTTCGCCACACATAGTGTTGTGTGTTTCTTCCAAACAACTCAACTTTGGTTTCACCGTCCACAGAATATTTTGCCAGTACTGCTGTGGAACATCCAGGTGCTCTTGTGCAAACTGTAAACGTGCAGCAATGTTTTGTTTGGACAGCAGTGGCATCCTCTGTGGTATCCTCCAATGAAATCCATTCTTGTTAAGTGTTTTACGTATTGTAGATTCGCTAACAGGGATGTTAGCATTTGCCAGTGACTTTTGTAAGTCTTTAGCTGACACTTCTTCACCTCATTGAGCAGTCTGCACTGTGCTCTTGCAGTCATCTTTACAGGACGGCCACTCCTAGGGAGAGTAGCAGCAACTTTCTCCATTTATAGACAATTTGTCTTACCGTGGACTGATGAACAGCAAGGCTTTTGGAGATACTTTTATAACCCTTTCCAGCTTTATGCAAGTCAACAAGTCTTAATCGTAGGTCTTCTGAGAGCTCTTTTGTGCAAGGCATCATTCACATCAGGCAATGCTTCTTGTGAAAAGCAAACCCAGAACTGGTGTGTTTTTTATAGGGCAGGGCATCTGTAACCAACACCTCCAATCTCATCTCATTGATTGGACTCCAGTTGGCTGACATCTCACTCCAATTAGCTCCTGGAGATGTCATTAGTCTAGGGGTTCACATACTTTTTCCACCTGCACTGTGAATGTTTACATGGTGTGTTCAATAAAAACATGGCAACATTTCATTCTTTGTGTGTTATTAGTTTAAGCAGACTGTGATTGTCTATTGTTGTGACTTAGATGATGATCAGATCACATTTTATGACCAATTTGTGCAGAAATCCATATCATTCCAAAGGGTTCAGATACTTTTTCTTGCAACTGTATATATATATATATATATATATATATATATTTAAATCTGCCCCCCTGCCTTACACACAATAAGTTTCCCATTCCCACACTGCCCCCCACATATTTCCACCCCACACACACTGTACCCCCAGACACACTGTACCCCACACACACTGTACCCCCCCACACACACACGCACTGTACCCCATAGACACAAAGCAACCCTCACACACACACACTGTACCCCCCCACACACACATTGTACCCCTCACACACACTGTACCCTTCACAAACACTGTACCGCTCACCATCAGCCCCCACCATCACCCCAACCTCTCTTCCTCACCATCAACCCCCATCATCACCTCAACCTCCCTCCCTCACCATCAGCCACCACCATCACATCAACCTCCCTCCCTCACCATCA